TGTGCAATGAGGTGCACCGGGGCTCTGCAGCCCGGCCCAGGGAGATGCTGACTTTGCCCCCTCCCATGGGACCCTGGAGCCCGGTGGGGCGAGCAGGGTGATGGGCTCGGGGTGGGGGTGAGGGCTGCCGGGGGCGGAGGCCGGGGTCCCCCCGGGGAGGACCCCCCCCCCCCCCCCCGGAGCAGATACTGCGGCTGCAGGCGGTCGCCCGGCACCTCGGCCCACTGACCTACTTTGAGCATTGCCGCGCCGCGGGCGTATGGGGACGGGGACGGGGATGGGGACAGCGATGGGGACGCCACGCTCCAGCCAAGCGGCGAGACAACGCTCCGGCCCACCCCCCCGGGCACCCACAGCCCCTGCCCAGGGCACAGCAGGGTCCGGCCCAGCCATGCCCCACTCCCAGCCCCTAATGAAAGCTCAGCAGCCGCTAATTGCTTGGGGACCCCCTTGGGGTGCGGGGTGAGACCGAGCGCCCCTTCCCCGGCCCACCGGCAGCTCTGCCGGCCGCGGCTCCAATTAGCCTCGTTATCCTGCATCGCCACTGATTAAGGGCCCGGTAATTGCTGCGGCGTTGGATGTCCCTTACAGCCGCGCGGCAGCAGCTATTGCATAAGTGCCAGGCGGGCGTTACGTGAGCGGGTCAGGCCAGCCTGGGGGCTCCGGTTACACCCGGCCCCGCCGCCCCCCCCCTCTCCCCCCAGCCCCAGCTGGGGACAGGGACAGCCCCACATGGGCTGCAGGGCTAGGGGGAGCACCCCAGTGCTGCCTCAGTTTCCCCCCTTCTCCATGCTCTGCGTTTCACCCACCGCCCATGCTGGTGGGCCCAAGCAGCACCCACCCTGTGCCACGGCCCCACGCCACAGCCCCACGCCACAGCCCCACGCCAGGGCCCGTGCCAGCCTTTGCGTAAGGAGCCCGTGGGGCAGTGACTCATGCCGCCTCGGTGGGGCCACGTGCCCGGTGCCATACCGGACCTCGCCGGCTGCCGGGGGTGGGTTGGTGCAGGCGGCAAAGCCGCGTCCCGTCCCCACGGCCGGAGGGCACCGGCCCCATCTGGCACGGCCGGGGGGACCCACGTCCTGCACTGCCCGAGCACTTCTGCAGCGGGGCTGAGAGGAAGGGTGACACTGATGCCGTGGAGAAGACAAAGCAGTGGGCCCCGGTCCCTGAGCGGGGGGTTCTCCGTGGGGTTAACCCCACAGCTTGGGGACCGTGGTAAGGCTCGGTGGTTGCAAACACCACAGTTCCCCTGCAGCCACCTCGTTCCCACTGCCTGCACCCCCCCACCAGCTTGGCACTGGGGGGCAGGACCCCAGTCCTGGGGCTGGGGGGCTGCCATGGGGCATGTTGCTGCACTGGCACCCAAGGAGGAGGTTTGGGGTCACCAAAACTGCTGCCCCCCAGCAGCGGGTTCATCCCATGACGAACTCCCCACCGGGCAGCTCGGCCGTTCCCGATGAGAAACTGAGTCACGGCGAGACAAAGTGACCTGGCAGTGCCCATGGCGAGGAGCCCATGGCAGAGGTACGGCGGGGGCCGGCTCTGCCAGCCGATTATCCCGGGGCTCGACGAGCGCGGGGCAGCCCAGCGCAGCCCTGATGGGGCTCGGCAGCCTCCGGGGCCGGGTGAAGGGCTGGGGGTGCAGGACGGGGTGATGCCGGCTGGGCGGGCAGAGAGGTTCCCCTCTCGCTGGGTGGGGCGTGAGCGAGAGCAAACAGTGATTAGGGTGCGGTGGTGTCATCCCAAATTCCTGCTCGCCTCCAGGCCGGCCAGGGGCTGAGTGGGCCGCTCCTGGCCAGCAGAGCCGCGCGGGCGGTTGCCGCTTCGATGTGGCCATGGGCTGGCAGCGTCCTGGTGTCTGTCCTGGCCCTGGCCACAAAGAGTCGGTGGTGAGGCCGGTGCTGGGGAGGAGGGGAAGGAGAAGGGCTGGATGTTGGCAAAGTGGCAGAGTTTTTGCTTCTTATCCATTCCCAGTGGCCATCTCCTCCCCGCGCCACCGATGCCCAGGGCTGCTGGTGCCACCTGCGACGGGCTGGATCCAGCCCCGCTGCCCATGTCCCCCAGCGTCACCCAGGCGGGTGCAGGTCCCCGATGCTGAGCCAGGTTCTGGCAGCACCCAGGTACCAGACAGCAGCTCTGGGCCCTCCAGCCCCGCTGCTTCCCCATCTCTGGGGACAGTGTCAGTCAGTGCCAGGGTCAGTGTCTCTGCACCGACCGGCTGCCAGCAGAGCGGCACTGGGCGCTGCACCACAGCCTGTGGCGGAGGAGACAGTTTCTGTGGGAGGTTCGGTGCCCTCCAATGCTGCCGCATCCAAAACAGCCCTGGGCGAGGGCAGGGGAAGCTGCTCCTCTCTTGGGAGAAAATGTTACACCAGGGGCTGAACCGTCACCATCAGTGAACTGGTTCTGCCTTGGTTCTGGCTTTGCTGAGGCCAGGACCTCAACTTAAACCTGGCCAAGTCCTCAGGGTGAGGCCCTAGTCAAGATAAAAGGGGGTCCTGCTCTGGTGCAGCCTCTCTACCTCCACCCCTGTGGCCCCAAACCCACGGAGCTGAGGCCCAGACCTGCAGCACCCAGCGCCTGCTGCCCCAAGGGCCGTTCCCACTCCGGTGGTCCCGCAGCATTTCCTTTTCCCCCAGGACTTTCCCCGGGGCTGCGCCACTGCCTGTTGGTGTTGGAGCTTGGGTGCCGTGCCCAAAGGGTTAAGGAGATGTTGGCAGGGAGCGGGTGCGTGGGTCCAGGGTTGCTCACGGCAGGTGTGGTGCCGCTTATGTAACCTCATACTTTTGGGTTGCGCCGGGGCACTCGGGGAGTATTGTCGCTCTCACTCCAGCACGATTTGGCCACGACTGTCCCAATAGTGGCAATCATCGGGGCCGTGCCGGGCAAGCCAGCGACCGCCTTTTGGGAGGTGCAAGTTCGCCGGGGCCGGACCCTGCGTGCCTTGAAGAGTCACCGTGTTGCTCCCAGTCTCAGTTTCCCCATCTGTGAAATGGGGCTAATGAGGCTGACCTCCTTCAGGCAGGGTCCGTGACCTCTAGGGACGCGCAGCGGCCTCGCGCCGCCAGCACGGGGGTTGCCCCCAACCAGGGCCAGTGGAGATGTGTGTTGGGGTGGGATTTCAGGGGCCGTCTGGAGCTGCGCTTGCAGAAGCTTCACTGGAAGCAGAGCCTGTAAAGACCGAGGCGAGACGTCGCCCCGCATCCCGTCTGCGTGCCCATCCATGCGGAACGCGGCGGGGAGGAGGGAGGGAAGGCGGGAGGAAGGAGCGAATCCAACTGGCGAGAGCAGCGAACCCGTTCCCAATCGCCAGCAGCAAAATCATGTCAGACAGCAGCAGTGGAGCGCAGCAGGCAGCTCAGCCCCCCACCCCTGCCCCCCCCTCATCCCTCCACCCCCCCGCCTGGCTGCCGGTGTCCCCCTCCCCGGCCACAGCCGCTCCCGCACTGGCGCAGAGCGTGGCGGTAACTCGGCACACGGGTGGGAGCGCACCAAGTGTCACCTCAGCTCAGCCCGGCCGTCCATCCTGCCCATGCTGCTGCGGGGGGACAGCGCTGGGGGGGCAGAGCCCCTCTGCCACCATCGCGGCAGCATCCCGGCGCCACTGGCTCAGCCCGGGGCTTTGGGTTGAAATCGCCCTCTTCAGCTGTGCTGGAATGGTTTGATTTAAGGGTTTGGGGTGATGGTGAGCCCAACTGAGAGGGCAGGGGGGAGTGCGGGGAGGAGGCAGCGGTGCCGCGTGTGTGGTGGGGGTGTCGGCTGCATCTGTGCCCGTGGATGCCACCTCCGGGCCCACGGCTGATGTGGCGTCCGTGGCCGTGACTGATGCCTTGCCTGTGCCTGTGGCAGATGCCACATCCCTGCCCGTGGTGGATGCCATGGCCACGGTGCGTGCCGTGCTCATGCCCGTGGTAGATGCTCTCTCTGCGCACAGCAGGTCTCCAGGCCAGTGCTGCTGTCCCCAGCACCCAGGCAGCCCTGGGTGCCGCTCGGCACCGACCACGTCCCTCGCACCCTGAGCCCCGGCCCAGCCGTGACACGGACCGACCTCCTCCACCCCTGTGAGGTGGCACCGTGGGGATTCTGTGGTGCAAGAGTCACAGCACAAACCCCAGCCGTGGGGCTTTGCCCCGTGCCGACACTCTGGCACTGCCCTGTGAGGGCTTGTTGAGTGGTCCAGAGCCTTAATTTCTTTGTATTTTTTACAGCAGTGTGTCGGAGCACCCCATTATCCAGAATATGCCCCCAGGGCCCCAAAGCCCTCTGTGTGCACCACAGCATGAAGGACGGGGTGGGAATGGCTTGCTGCCACCTCCAAAGCTTCCCGCTGCTCCCACCGAGCACTTTCCGAACCGCAGGTCTCCCGGCCGGGGGGGTCCCCTCGGACCCCAGCGTCTGTACCCTGGCGTGGGGACACGGTGGGGCTGCCTGGGGGTCCCCGTGTTTCCCGCATCCCCCCAGCACCGGGTGTTTGCACCTTCTCCAGGGCTCCCCGCCCTGTCCTGCCGGGGGGGGGGGGGGGGGGGGCGGCGGGGGGGTGTGTGTGGGGGGAGTGTCGAGGTCCCTGTGCCAAACGGGGCACCCTGCGGGGGGGGGGACACACCGGAGCCTCACGGGTGAAGCGAGGAGGCGCGGTGATTCAGTGGGACACGCAGCCGGCCCCGTGCCTGGGCGAGCCGGGACTGGACGGGCACCGGCAGGGCCCTCCCATGGGCGGGCAGCACCCAAGGGTGCAGCGCCCAGCACCCCGCGGCCGGAGGCGTGTGTCCCCTAGCCCGGGGGTCCAGGAGCCCCCCCCGGCACCGAGGAGGCGCCGGGCATCTGCGCTCTGTGCAGCGCCGAGCACCAGCCCGGCGGGAGCGGCGGGGATGGGGATGGGGATGGAGGAGGAGGAGGAGGAGGAGGAGGAGGAGGAAGGGCAGGAGGTGGGGCTGGAAGTGAAACCGATTTGGGGGGGCGGAGCGGGCTCGTCATGTGAACGGCCGCATGCTCGGGCAGAAGTGGGTCAGCGGCGCCGCGGAGGGGCAGGTGCCAGAGCCGCCCGGTGCCGCCCGGTGCCTCCCGGTGCCGCCCGGTGCTCCCGGTGCCCCCGCTCCCCCCGCCGGCCCATGCGCCCCCCCGCGCGCTCCTGACCGCCGCCGGCCACGATGCGAGGTGAGTCCGTGGGGTTGGGGGGGGGGGGTGGGGATCTGGGAGCGCGGGGGGCATCGCCCGGCTGAGGGGTGGCAGCGACAAAAGTTGTCCCCAACCGGGGACACGGGGGGCAAACTCGGCATCAGCCCAGCCGGGGACACGGGGGGACCCGCACCAGCCCCACGGAGGGACACGGGGGGGGACCCGCATCAGCCCCGCCGGGTCCGTTTGTCTCCTCCAGCTCCTCCCTTCATTAGGAATAAAATTCTTTTTTATTTTTCTTCGCTTTCCGATGCCGGCTTAGACCCGCTCTTAAGCTTTTCCTCGCACTAAACCCCTTAATCTCCTCTTCAATATGTTGCTCCCACCAGGGCTGGATTTATTGTGTTTTTTTGCCCTTTTTCCCCCTCCCCGCGGTGGCTTCGGGGGCGGTTTGGGGCTGGGCCGGTGCAGCGGAGGGAGGCTCCTGTGGGGACAACGAGGGACCAGCCACAATTTCGGGTGCCCCTTGTCCAGGGAAGGGGGTGAGTCGCTCCAGCACCTGCCCGATTTTATCCGTTATTAAAGGCGATTCCTACTTTTCACCCCTCCGCTTTGCAAAGCAGGCGGTTGGGAGGAGGAGGATGGAGGGAGGCAGGCTCCGGCGGGACGATCCACCCAGGCCCGGTGATGGTGACGCAGCGGTGGCCAGACCCAGCTTTTCCCGTGCCAATTCCCAGCTGAGCTACTGGGACCTGGCACTCTGGGTTGGGATTTTTATCCCCCTTTAAAGTCATTTTCCATCATCTGCTGTGCCCGAGCCCTTCACCCGCCAGGACTCGCTTGTGCACGCCTTTAAGTGTGTTTTTCGGGTGCAGGTATTTAGGTGTATTTTTGGGTGCAATATTTAAGTGTATTTTTGGGTGTACATATGGGGACCTACATCTTCGAGCTCCTCAAATCCGTTTTCCTCCCTCCCCGGCACAGCTGCGGGTGCTGCGGCTCTGCCACCCGCCGCACTCTTGTGTAACGGTGGGGTCGGGGCTGGGCGAGGGCGAGGCGAGCCCCCCGCACCCCCTTCCCACCCTGTGGCATCCCGGGATTTCACCTTTATTAGTACGAAGGGAAGCATTAATGCCTGCCTGGCTCTTACGTAGCACTCACACAGCTGGCGCCGGGCTTAATTAGCAGCTGGGTGAACTTTTTTTTTTTTTTTAATAATTTTTTTCCTTCTCCCCCTACCCCCCCCCCCTCCATTCCTATGCACCAACCCTAATTAAGGGCCAAACCCCCCTGATATGACACCGTTTTCCCCCGTCGGGTGTTTTTTTCCGCAGTCCTGCCTGGCGCAGGGTCCCCATCTCTCGCCAAAGCCAGTGCCGCCTGGCGACGCCAAATCGATTCCATCTCTGTTTTCTACCCCAAAACCTCCACAGCTCTGCCCCATTCCCTGGGGGCCCCAGCAGCTCCTCGCTCCTGTCCTTCCCCGCGCCGCAGCTGCGTCGGGGCCGGGCGAGAGGCTTTGCCTTGTATAATCCTATAGGGTTTCCAGCCCTCCTGCTCGCTTGTTTTGCAAGCAGCGTGGCGAGGAGCGTGCGGTGGCTCGGCAGTCTTTCCGACTTGTCCTAGTGACCTAGATCTGTCATTGGAAAAATCAGAGAGGGTGGAGGAGGAGCTTCCCTGCCCGTTTAGGCAGCGTGCGCACGCCGGTGCGGGCAAGGACGGTTGGCACCCACCGGCCCTCCCGCACGACGGCTGCGCCCGTCCCGGGTACCGCAGGGTGGGGACGCGGATGGGGATGGCCGTGCCCTTTGCCTCCTGAGAATAAGGTTGGAGGAGAAAGGTGGCCGGCGACAGCGTGGGGTCCTGAGGGATCCAGCCAGGATTTGGGATCCTTAACCCCGATAACCCCGGGGAGCGACAGCACCTGGAGGGGGGGGGGGGGAAAAGCGGTGATGGGGAGACATTGGTCCCCGTCCCCGCGGGTGGCAGCGGGTTAAGCCCTGCAGCCCGGCTGGGCCCTGTTGGCAACATCCCCTGCCCGTCCTGCCTGTCCTGCCTGCCCCTCCTCCCCACCACGTTTAACTTTGAACTTGACAGTGGCTATTTAAAGAGCTGCTAATGTCTAAATCGCCTGGTTTATTGGATGTGGTGAGCGGAGCCGCTCTTACCGCCTTTATTTAGCCCCATGGAGATAATTCCCCCCCCTGATTCAGCTGCGGGGCCAGAAGAGTTGTCCCGCTGCAGCCTGGCTTCTCCCCACCCTGCACTGGTGGCAGGTCCCCCTCCCCGCCGCCGCACCTTTGCCACCCTCCTGCACCAGCCAAAGTGCAAAGGGCCGCGTCCCGCGCCGGCGGGGCTGGCCTTGGAGCGGTGCCGCGCGGCACGGGAGCCGGTGAACCGGAGCAGCCGGGGCAGGAGCCGGCTGGCCGTGGGGGACCCTCATCGCCCGCCCACCACTGCCGGTGGGTGAACTGTTTGCTGCGATTTCCAAGCTGGGGACACACGCTGCACCACAGGAGAGGGAAAAAATGGCATCTTGCCGGGCGGCTGCGAAGCCACCGGCCACGTGGCTGCGAGTGAAGGTGGTTGGGGGCCACCCTGCGGTGGGGGGAGAATGGCCGAGCCCCGTTCTGGCCCAAATTTTCCAGGAAATCTCAGCTAATCCATTCAGAAACTGATTCACACCTCCAGCATCACAGCCCGGCACAGGGCTGGAGTTGCATTAATTTAAATTTTTTTTATTGCCCACACGGCCCCGGTGCTGCCGGTGTCCCTGCAGCCTGGAGCTGGTGCTTTCACCGTCGTGCTGGAGCCATGCTGCTCACATTTGCAATCCACCCCAGCCTCGGGCGGCCCCAGCCCCTTTGGGGTTACCCACGGGGTGCACGGATGGGGATGGGATTTGCCAGCGGTGGCAGCCAAACCGCTGGAGTGCTGGGGGACCCCAGGACACTGCAGAGCAGGAGCCTGTTTAAAAGCAAACCCAACAGCAGATATAAACAGGTGATCATTCTCTTTATTTACTTATTTATTGCTCCTCCGCCACCCTTGCCCCCAGCCACCTTCCCAAAATACAGCGGTGGCTGGTTGCTGTGGGGAAGCACAGTGGCAGCCGGGAGCAGCGCCAGGCACCGGGATCGGAAGTTGCTGCAGGGAACAAGGGGGAGAGGAGCTGGATTTTGAGGCAGGGATGGGGAGGTGGGGTGGCATCACAGGTCCCTGCACGTCCCCGTGGGTCCCTGCGCATCGCCGTGCAGCCTGGACCCACCGCCCTCCCTCCCTCGGCTCTGGGTATGCCGGGGGGGATGCTGAGCTGGAGGGGAGATGCGGGTGGTGACAGAGCATCAGAGCACCCCCGTGCCCTGGCTGGGGCTGGGGAGGGGAACGGGGGCTGCGGGGCTGCTGCTAATTACCAGAGGTGCTCGTCCTGCGCATCGATTGCAGCGGCAGGCTGGGGCACAGACCTATTTTCCCAGCGGGTTCACTGGGTAATGAGCTGGGGCACTGGGGAAACCACCTGCTCTGGCTCTTGCCCCGGCAGCTGAGAGGGTATTTGGGGCAGGGATGGCCACAGGGGCACGGAGCCACCTCAAAACCACCTGGAGCTGGGCTGCTTGGCCCTCACCTCCCCCCCCCCGCCCAGCAAGGGGCACCCAGACCCCAGGGGTGGGTTTGCTCCCATGGCCCACCCAGGGGAGGGGGTGGCCAGGTCCTGACCCCAGCCCCAGGGGTTGAAGGGTGTGCAGGGTCGCCCTGGGGCAGTCTGTGCAGAGGGCTTTGCAGGGACCTGCCAGTGCCCCCCCAAATCACCCACACCCCCCCCCCCGGAGTCCTCACCCCTCAGCCAGGAGCACCCAGTCCCCACGGAGCCAGCTGGAGGAGGGGCAGCTCCAAAAAGCCTCCAGCAGCAGCAGGGTCGTGACATGTTCTGGAGCTCAGTGGGGTGCTGAGGGTTTTGGGGCGATCTTCCTCCCAGCAGTGAGCTCATATGGCCAAGGGGAGGGATGGGGGGGAGGAGGAGGATGGGGCCACCTGTGGCCCCTGCGCTACAGAGGGAGGGTCCAACCCCCATGGCCGGGTCCTGTGGGGCCTTGTTTTGGGGTGCAAGAGGGATGCCCGCCCCCGGGGCAGAGGTGATGGAGAGGAGGGTGTGCCGGTGCAGGAGGAAGCTTCGGAGAGGGCGGCTCTGGCTCTGCCGAAACCACCGGCGCCACCCGGGCTCGGGGCAAGCGGTGCTGGGCTGGGGGGGACACGCACAGCCGGGTCCGGAGGGGTGACAGGGGACGTGGGGACCGTGCAGAGCTGTGCCCCCCCCCCCCCCAGAGAGCTGCAGCTTGAGGTGGCGTCAGGTGTCCCCAGCAGGAGATGTCCCCCCAAAATGCCCCAAAGGCCCTACCCCCAGCACCAGGAGGTCGGGGTGCAGCCCTGGCTCCAGCCCGGGGCGGCCGCGGCTGTGGGAAGGGTTAACGGCCGCAGCGTTACACAAGCGCGTGGGGCCACGGGCAGAAAGTGTGTCAGTGGGACAGGACGGCTCCAGCCACCGGACCGGGGGCCAAGCGCCACCGGCACGGCCGAGCCCCACGGCCGGCCGGGACCGTGGGGCCGCTTACATAAGGGCTGGCCGGTGGCAGTGGGCCGGGAGTTGGGCAAGAAGTATTTACAGTGGGAGGAGAGCAAATACCACGGCCGGGACATTTTAATTGCCGGCTGCAGATTATTATATTTTTTTTTTTTTTAAACTATTTTTTTTTTTTTTTAGCCCTGCCAGCCCCGGGGAGGAGTTTCACTGCCTGCCCTCCCCAAGCAGGGGGAAGGGGTTCACCTCCACCTAAATAATCCACGCTTTTGCACAGCGTGGCCGATGCTTGAAGTGTTGTGGGAGGAGGAGGAGCCCAGCGCTCCGATGGGGAAACTGAGGCACGGGGGGGGGATCCAAGCCCAAGGTGGGGGGAGTTTGCTGTGATGTTTCCCCTCTGATTGTGGTGAGATTTGGGGGATGCGGGGTGCTGCTACAGCCACCCCACCAGCACCCACATCCCTCCCCCTGTCCTGCTGGGGTTGCCCCAGGGGGTTGTCTGACCCTGGGGGTCCCGGGGGAGATGTGGCTGTGGCACGAGGGGACGCCGAGGGAGCCGGCAGGGTGATTCAGCCGGGGCTTACAAATAGAGCGGCAATTAAACGCTGTTCTGGGCTGTAATTGCCATCGCGCCAGGGTTACGGCTGTATCTCCACGTCAGTTATTTGGGGCGAACGTCTCACGAGTGGGTCAGGTGCCAGCGGTGGGCACGGCCGTGTAATTAGCAGGATGCTAATTAGAGCCCCGAGAGGCTGTGGGCGCACGGCGAGTGGTTGAGGCTTCTCCTTCACAGCATCCAGGGGTGACTGTAGGCTCCAGAGGAGCTGGGAAAGCATCATCCCCACATACCCCCAGCTCTGCCCGTGCCGGCTGCAGGGATCCCTCGGGGGGGGGGGGGGTGTCCCCTCCACCTGGGCCTGGGGGTGTGGGGGGCAAGATTTGGCCACTGGCATCACACGAAGCCATCGCCACCGTCGGGAGCCAGCAAACAGCTTTGGGGCCCCGTGGGGCGAGCGGAGCAGCACCCTCGGGCTCTGCTCGGTGGGTGCGAGGGCCGCGCTCAGCCCGGCTGTTTTCCCGGGCGCAAGGTGCTGGTAATTTCGGGGGGGGGGGGGGGGGGGGCCGGGAGTATCGGCCGCGGGCGTGAGGGCGTGACACGCCGGCGATGCATCACCCCAGCACTCCCGGCGGCTGCAATTACGTTGCATAACGAACCGACGCTGCTTCCTGCCGGGGGTGGCACCACCTCCCTGTGCCCCCCCAGGGTGCCACCACCGCTGTCCCATGCCCATGCCCCTCCCTGGGCGATGGGGACGGGGCGTCAGGGCCGGGGGGGGGGGGGGGGGGTGTCCCCGCAGTTTGCGGGTGGCACCCCTCTCTGGCAGCACGGGCGAAGGTGGCCGCGGGAAACCGGAGAATCGGGGGTGTCTCGGTCGTTGGTGCTGGCTGGCAAGGTGGGGGTGGCCACACATCCCCCCCCCCCCCACCACCAAAGGGGTGACCCCAGGGCTGCGATACCAGTGCAACTGGGGAGGGGCTGGGACTGGTGTGGTTGCAAGGATGCCCTGCCTGCTCCCTGCCCAACCCGGGGGGGGTTCAGCTCTGCTGCCCCAGGCCCAAAACTACAGCAGAAGCACAGGCAGAGGCTTTGGAGAGGGGCAGAGGTGGGATGTGACCCCCTTGGATTGGGGGGGGGGGGGTACAACACACAGCCCTGGGAGAAGCCTGGCTCTACAGGCTCCAGAGGGAGGGGTGAACCCCAAAACCGCCTGGTGCATTTGGGGCAGGAGCTGAGCAGCGAGACAATGGATGGAGGAGGGAACCGTCCTCCGCTTGCACCAGGATTTGGGGTGAGCCCCCCCCCCACCCCCCAGGGCAAACCTGCTCTGGGGAACACACTGATAGCATCCCCAGGGGACCGATAGCAGCCCCTGGGGGGGGACCGATGGCATCCCCAGGGACTGATGGCAGCCCAGTTGCCCCACTGGGCAGCAAGGCTCGTGCTAACCCAGCCCAGCCTGCTCCAAAGCAGCGAGGGACCCCGGGGCACAGCGGGGTGCTGGGGTGCAGGCGGCGCTGGCCGAGCACCGGGGCTGTCACCCACAGAGGTGGCCTCCGCTGGCAGCAACCCACAAACATGACCCTCAACCAGAACCGGTCGCTCCCAGGGGAGAAGAGAGGCAGAAGGGAATTACCCGAGCCGGGGATTTGCACAGGCCCAGGAGATTTGAAATAACCATAATCTGGCCGTGGGGGTTATTTTGGCGCGGCAGCGGCTGCCCTGCACCCTCGAGAGCGACGCCAGGCCGAGCCCATCCGGGGGGCGCGGGGGCTGGAGCGGGGGGATTAGAGGGTGCAGAGATGCTGGGAGGCACGTACGAGTCCCCGGGGGTGCCCCGCATCCCTCCCCCCCCCGACCGCCACGGCACGCGCAGGGCGGGCAGAGCCAGCCCGGATCTGGGGCAGCTGGAAAATGAGGAGGACGAAGCCTATTAGCAGCTCAGTGCCAGCAAAGCAGAAGCGGGGAGGGAAGCGGATTTGTGGGGGGAAGGGGGCTGGGACCTTGAGCCAGCCGTGGCTATATTGGTCCTGGGTTTTCTAAGGAGCTGCTGGGGGGGGTCAGGGGCCCCTCAGACCCTCGGCTTGGGCCAGACCCCCCGCAGGAGAGCATCCGTGGCTGCAGGGACGGGGATGGTCCTTGTGCCGAGGATGTCCCTGTCCGTGGTGCCCTGACAGCGTGCATACCCCAGCTGAAAAATAAGGGCAATGATTCCAAAATAGGGTCCCGGGCAGGCTGGTGCGCCCCATGCTGTACTCTCATAGCTCAAAGGGCTTTTCTACCTGTCTCCAGCTGTTGGAGAAGACGGGGGAGCGAATGGAGGTACCCTATGCCCTGTGTGAGCCTTTTTGGGGCCCTCGCTGAGGCACCAGCATCCTTGTGGGATCTGTGGGAACGGCTGAGGTACCGTCGGCTCCAGACCTCATGCCTCAGTTTCCCCAGCTGCGGAGCAGGGCTGTGGCTGTCACGGAGGGAGGGCCTTCTCCCTTGTTTGGTTCAGCGCTGGCCATCATTAACCACCGTGGTTTTCCCCCTTTTTCCCCTCCTCCGCAGCCCAAATCGAAGTGATCCCATGCAAGATCTGCGGAGACAAGTCCTCGGGGATCCACTACGGCGTTATCACCTGCGAGGGCTGCAAGGTGAGCCCAGGGATGCGCGGAGATGGGTGCAGGCGGGCGGGCGGCCGCGGGGGGTTGGCATCCCGCCGGGCCCTTTCCCAACACCTGCCCGTCCTGCTCAGGGCTTTTTTCGGAGGAGCCAGCAGAACAACGCCAGCTACTCCTGCTCCCGGCAGAGGAACTGCCTGATCGACCGCACCAACCGCAACCGCTGCCAGCACTGCCGCCTGCAGAAATGCCTGGCGCTGGGCATGTCCCGCGACGGTGAGTCGTCCCCAGGGACCTGTCTGCTCCTCCTCGGGGCGAATCGGGCTGTCAGGGCCAAAGCTGCTTCCTCTGTGGGGCCAGCCGGGTGAAAGGAGGTTTTGGGGAAGCAAAGAAATGCTTTTTGCGTTTTCCATGGGGAAATTTAAATCGATTCTGTTCTCTTGGACCCGAGGGTGGTCTGGGGCGGGAGGTGGATCTGACAGGGCTCATCGCCCCCAAACCACACGCTCCCCGGGAGCCAGGACCCTTCCCAGGGCGGGCGGGCGGGCGCGGCTGCCGGGGGTGAAGCTGCCCTGACGCGGCCGCCCTCTCCTGCCCGGGCAGCGGTGAAGTTCGGCCGCATGTCGAAGAAGCAGCGGGACAGCCTCTACGCCGAGGTGCAGAAGCACCAGCAGAGCCAGGAGCAGAGCGGCAGCACCAAGGATGAGCCCGAGCCCCTGAGCCGCGTCTACACCACCAGCGTCAGCAGCGGGCTCTCGGACCTGGATGACATCTCCACGCTGTCGGACGGGCTCCTCTTCGACTTCCCCCTCACCCCCGATGGCAGCAGCACCTACTACAACCTCGACCTGCTCGCCTCGGCGCAGCCTTCGCCCGACCAGTCCAGCCTGGACGTGGCCGATGCCACGCTCATCAAGCAGGAGTCCATCTACGAGCTGATGCTGGAACCAGCCCTGTTCGCCCACGGCGCGCTGGAGGGCGGCCAGCTGCCCGCCGATATCTCCGTCCTCGAGATCGGTGAGCCCTGGCGCGGTCCCGGTGTGACGCCTGGCACGCACAGGGCGCGCAGCCCCGGCGATGGTGCTCGGTGTAGCCCCGGGCACCTTGCAGGATGCGTCCAGCCCTGGGTGCCCACGCCGTGCCGGGTGCGCTTGCAGTGAGGGACTGACCCAGCCTCAGCTCTCGGAGCAGCCCCAAGCCCATCCCCTCCTCCAGGCTGAGCACAGATGGAGCTCGGTGCGCCTGAGGTTGCGCAGAGCGTCTCCCCCTCTGCCTTGGGGACAGCCCCTGACACCCCGTCTGTCCTCGTAGCCCTGTGACACCGCACGTGAGCCCCTCTGCCCCTGCAGCCCCGCAGGACACCCCAGGAGAGGCCGGCATCAGGGTGTAGGGACAGAGGGGCCGGCGGGATCCCCGGGTTTCACCGCCCGCTGCCCTCGCCTTGCAGACCGGGTGGCCCAGAACGTGGTGAAGTCGCACCTGGAGACGTGCCAGTACACGACGGAGGAGCTCAAGCGCCTGGCGTGGAGCCTCTACTCCCCCGAGGAGGTCCGTGCCCTGCAGAGCAAGGTGAGCACCGCTGCTGCAGCCCCCCCCCGGCTCCCCACCACGGCCAGAGCCGTGGCAGCCCTCGGCAAGGGCCACCGCTGTCCCCCCGGTGCTGCACTGAGGCGGGGATGAAGACAAGGAGGATGAGGAGGGTCTTTCGGTGCTTTGGGAGCTGGGGGGGGGGGGGGGTTGCAGTTGCAGTGGTAGGTCATGTCCGGGGTGTCCTAGTGCCACCACCCGCCCCGGATGACATGGCACCTGGGTCCCTTGCACGCCCCGTGCAATGGGGTGGGGTGGGGTGGGGGGGACAGTGGAGCCAGGGTGACGGGGCGGCAGCGAGCCCTAAGGGACGTCCCCGCTGTGCCGGCAGAGCTGCGAGGCCATGTGGCAGCAGTGCTCGCTGCAGATCTCCAACGCCATCCAGTACGTGGTGGAGTTCGCCAAGCGCATCGACGGCTTCATGGAGCTCTGCCAGAACGACCAAATCATCCTCCTGAAAGCCGGTAAGAGCGGGGGACCCTGCCATCCCCCTCGCGTCCCTGCCGTCCCCCTCTCATCCCCAACACCCCTCTCAAGTGGCAGCCACGGTGCCGGAGGCATATCCCAACCTTCCTCTTGGCTAGTGCTTTCCTTTCAGGATCTCCCCTCCCTCACCACCCTGGTTGCCCCCCCGGGCTCGGCATCGGTGCTTGGGGAGCAGGCACTGGGCTGGAAGGAGTTGAAGGTCATGGTATAGAGAGGGACATGGGGAGTGCCTGCCCCAGGCAGAGGCTTTTCCCCACGGTTGCCCTCAACCAAATGTCACCCAGAAACCAGGATGCAAATGAGCACAGAGGGTTTTCCCTCCGGGAAAAGGGGTGCCAAACCCAAAGGGGAGCAGGGAGGGAGAAAAGGAAGGGATTGGCCTCTTCTCCCAGGAAGAGACTGGGAAGAGGAAGACAATGGCAGTGCACACCCACGCCCCCCACCCATCCATCTGCCTGAGCTGATGATGTGGTGCCCAAGTGAGGGAGATGAATGTGAAAAAGCCCCAAAATTCCAAAAAAGGTGGAAAGCCTCCCCTAGACTTTCAGGGCTGGGGAGCTGAGAGCCTCACCCAGCACGGGGGATGTGTGCACAGGGGTGCTCTACCCTGAAGCTGGAGCTGGCCTTGCCTGCCATGCTGGAGTTTAACTCATTCTTTCATTTCTTCCTTCCATTTTCTTTTTATTTATTTTGTTTTCACCCTCTCCTCTCCTGGTGCTCCACCATGACCTCGACTGATCTCTGTCCGGCTGTGAATGCTCGGACGATATTTGCCTTTGGTGAAATAATGTGGTCGCAATCGGAAACCTAAAAAAACCCAACCCCCCCCAACCCAAATTGGATTTATTGGAATAACCATTCTGTTCTGGGGAATAAACAATCTGGACTTCAAACTTGCACTGGGGGCTTTCCTCTTCCTTACATTTGGTCCTGGGATCATACCTGCCTGCCCTCGCCTGCGCTCTCTCTGCCTACGTCAGGTTGCCTCGAGGTGCTCCTGATCCGCATGATCCGCGCATTCAACCCCTTGAACAACACCGTCCTCTTCGAGGGGAAGTTCGGCGGCGTGCAGATGTTCAAATCGCTCGGTAAGAGCCGCCTCGCTGCGCCTCTCCCGGGGCTCTCCTCTCCTTTCGACAGCCAGACAGGGCTGGGGTTCGCAGCCAGGTGAAACGCAGCATCCCCGTGGCTGGGAGAGATCCCTGGGGGACGGGAGGGGGTGAGACCCCCGCTGCGTTTGCTCCCACTCCCGTTGGGATCGGGTTGATGTGCACCACGGTCAGGACTTGCTTTCCACCCCGGCCTGAAGCCCAGTGATGCCAGGCATCCTCTGCCGGGGGACCCCCCCCTTCACCCATCTCATCTCCCGAAAGCTTGCTGAGCCCTGGGTGGGAGTGTGGGGGTGCCGCCACGCCGCGCGGAGCCGTGACAGCCCCCCCTTCCCCGCTGTCCCCCCCATCAGGCTGCGACGACCTCATCGGCGCCGTCTTCGAGCTGGGGAGGACCCTGTGCCGCCTGCAGCTGTCGGACGAGGAACTCGCCCTCTTCACCGCCGCCGTCCTGCTCTCCCCAGGTACGGGGGGGCTGTGGGGGGAACACCGCAGCCAGGACTGTCCAGGGAGGGGGGAATCTTGTGCCAAAGCTGGGGAGAGCTGACCCCTAAATCTCAGCACTGCTTCCTCAGCGGTTGATTTAAGTTATTCCTGGGAAAGGAGGTTGGGGGAAAAAAACGCATCTGAAAATGCATCTGCCAAAACTCAATGGGAGGAGGGGCCGTGTCCCCTGCAGCAGAGTGGGGGGGGTTGGAGAGGGGCTGCCTGGCCGTGTCACCGTCCCCAAAAGCATCCCCCAAAATCAGGAAGAGTTAAAAGAGCAAGAGGCCACCGCACCGTGCCGGGGGAGAGCCCTGTGGCGGCACTGACCCAGCCATCTCCTGTAGATCGCCCGTGGCTGACGGAGTCCAAGAAGGTGCAGAAGCTCCAGGACAAGGTCTACGTGGCCCTGCAGCACGAGATCCAGAAGAAACACTCCACGGAGGACAAGCTCTCCAAGGTAGCGGCGCTGCCCGCGTGCAGTGCGGGGAGCCCGGCTGGGGGTGGCACGTGTGCCACGGGGAGATGGCTGAGCTGGTGGATGTGGCTGTGCCGGGGCTCGTTAGCCACACACGGGTGTTTTTCAGCGGGGTGAGCCCTGGGTCCCGTTGAAGGAGAATTTCTCTCTCCAAGGGCCGAGCATCTCCGTCATGGTAGAGCCACACTGCAGGCAGCCCCGTGGCACGGAGCCCGGCCGTGCATCAGGCAGCGGGTGTTTGGGGCAAAAGGAGCCATTTCAGGAACACTTTGGGCAGGACAGAGCTGGGCCGGGAGGTGCTGGTCCCAGGCGCTGGTTGTCCTGAGGAAAAACATGGGTTTGGAGGCACGGCCACGTTGCTGCCAGGCTGCCCAAAGGTGAGGGGTGTCCACTGGTGCCCCCGGGGCCAGGCAGAGCCAGCGGTCCCCAAACCCACCTGCTTGTCCCCAAAGGAGAGGGAGTGGTGGCATGAGGGATGCTAGCCAGGGACCCAGTGGTCACCAGCTCCTCCCTTCCCTTCAGATGGTTTCCAAGCTGCCCTTGATGAAGACCATTTGCAACCTGCACTTGGACAAGCTGGAATTTTTCCGTCTCCTGCACCCAGAGACGGCCATGAACTTCCCACCCCTCTATAAGGAGGTCTTCAACTCGGAGCTTCAGTACAGCGACCCACGGGAGAGCTAAGGCTGGGAGCCGCTGGCCCCCTTTGAGTTCCCCAAAATTTGGAGACGAACTAAACTTCAGAGGTTTGGGGCAGTTTATTTAAATCAAATAATCAAACTCAAGAGAGCCCAGGGGCTGGGCTATCTCCCCAGCCCCATTTCCTCGCTGTGGATTGCAATAGCTCTTGAATGTAAAGCACCTTGAAGGAAAAAGCAAACAGACTTTGCCATACCAGTGAAATGAATGTGAAATATTCGCTTGGGAGAGGAGATGTTCCGGGCAGCGGTAAGGGACCGACTCCTGCCCGCAGTGCACGGATCCAGGGGAGCACACGCCATGCACACACCGCTGTGCTCGCGGCACGGCCCTTCCCGCTGTCCTGGCTGCACTCTCCATCTCCGATTTTTATTTTTTTGTAATTATTATTATTTTTTTTTTTTTTTTTTACCCAAACACAAGGCATGGGATAAAGAAGGGGCAACACAGACTCGGCTGGATAGGCGTGAGCCAGGCCAGTGGGAGCAGCTTTGATCTCATGCTGGAGGCAAGGAGAGGGCGAAGGTAGAGCCTTTGCTTTATTCCTTCTCCCATGGGTGCAGCGAGCCCACAGGGCACGGTGTGACCTCAGGAGCTTCGCCAAGAAAGACCTGGCTGTGGCTGGGGGCAGGATTCAGCACAGGATTTTCCTGTGGAGGAGGCTGGTTCAAGTGAAAGGATGCCCAGTGCAGCAGAGGAAAAGCTTTCCAGGGTCTCCGCGCCCTCCGTCAGAGCATTTTTCCAAATGCCTGGCCAACTCCCCATCCAGCTGGCCAGCTGTGGCTTTTTGGAGCTGATTTGGCAGGTCTACCCCCCTCATGCCACCTTCCCGCGTCCCGAGAGCTTTTCAGAGAGGGGCTTTGCCCTTGCGACTGTGGCCAAAGCCCAGCTCCTGGCTGCTCCCCCGCAGAGGCAGCCGCAGGCGCTGGGGCTCGGTGCCTGTCCCCGCACGTCGTCGCAGGCAGGGACTCTTTGGGTGCTGGCTGTTGGGTGTAGTTTTCTTATCGAGACCATTAAAACCATCCCGTGGCTCAGCACCCAGAGGAGGTTTTGTGGCCTTTCCTCCACCCAACCTCCAGCCAGTCCCACTGCCAGGTTCCCCCTTCCCGTGCCGGGACCACTGGGAGAGCAGCCACGGCGACTGTTGCAGGATGAGTTGGACCCGGGCTTTCCCCCCCAAGGAGCTCGTTAGAACTGTTATTTTGGGTCTTTTTCTCTATTTAGCAGGACCTGGGAGCTTTTTAGGGAGAGAAACTGCCCGTTGGGGTCAAGGGGAAGCAAAAGGTTCTTATTCCTTCCCTGGGAAGTCGCGGTATGGTTGGGACCTGCTGCTCCGAGCTTGGGAGGCTCAAAAGGTGAAGAAGGGATGTATTTGTGGGGTGATGCTGTGATAGCCCGCAGCTGGCGGGGCTGCTCAAGGGACTCTTTGACCAGGCTCTGCAGATGGTTTTTCTGTCCCTATTCCTGCTCCTCCTGCAGCGAATGCGAAAAGCTACAAGGGAGAAACCTGCTGTGAGGCAGCCCCAGTTTCTGCTGGCAAAGGGCTAAAACCCCAAGCCCCTTCCCGCTTTGTGTAGATTTCTCTTGCATCCACCCCCATCCTCTGGCAGCTCGGATCATCTCCACGAGTGAGCCGAAGACCTTCAGTTCCATAACTGCACCCCGTGAACTAAATGAACAGCTTTTTTAGCAATGGTAGGGGATATTCATGCTTTTGGTTAAAAGACCTCCTACGGAAGACCGTGGACCAACCTCAACCAGGGAAGACTCACCAGGAAGCTGATGAGATTTCTGCTTCGGTATAAGGCAGAGAAGAACTTGGGACCGTGCTATTCCCCAGCAGCTACCGCCCGCCACGTACAGCCGCGTGCTTTCTGGTTTTGCTAACCGCCGTCTGAACTGCTCCTCGGAGCGTATCGGAGCTCGTCAGCCTCCTTTCTCTCCCCGATGGCGTTAGAGCCCAGGTCTCTGGTGAAGGCTGCTGACCCTCCCAGCCGCCCCACTCGATGTGGAGTGCCAATGCGTCGTTCTCCAGCACAGCGTTCACCGGGGTGGGGATGCGCTGTGCTCGTCTCCTGCCCTCTTGGATCCTAAAGCTTGCGAGAAGTCAGTACTGCCTTTTTTGTTTAGAGGGTTGTGCCTTTTTTTTGAAGAATCATTTCCGACAGCACCATTCGCTTCCCAGCTCCTCTTTGCAGGGAAAAGCACTCGAGAAAATGAATGTGCTTTGTGGAGGGGGCTCCCGCCCTCCATTTCTGCAAGACAGCAGCACTCCCTTTCTCGGAGGAAACAGCCGCAGGTGTTTTGAAATGTTTTTTGGGAAAAAAAAAAAAAAGCACACACCCTTCTTTATGTCCTTGGTATTCGTCAGCCAACGTGCACCAACGGTCAACATCACTGTTTTCATTTCATCCGGCAAAGAAACCAAGAAAGCACCTTAAATCAGGAAAAGACTGAGCCCTCACCACTAGTTTTTTCTGGCTTACGACACAGCGTCCATCTCCTGGGAGAGCTTTTGGATTCTGAGCAATAAAAGCCCCCGTGGGAATCTAGGGAAGACTGGAACTATTAAACACGTGTAACTCAACCTGCCAAACTGCGGGAACCTGCACTTTTAAGTTCTCTTTAAAGGAACTGTCTCGTTGATTAAGTGATTTCTTGCCTGGGACGGGTGACGCACGTCGAAAGAGATGGCAAGGGCGCGCCAACCCCCCGCGGCACCTCTGCTGGCTGCAGCCTCGGCTTTCGGCTCGCCCGAGCGCGCGGGGCCGTAGAGGCAGTGCCAAGGTCCCTCACGCTCCCTCTGTGCCACCAAGAGCAGCGGCTCGGCAGAGCCAGGCATCGAGCTTGTACGGAAAGGGCGAACAAAAAAGCCTTGGGTGAAAATGCCTGAAAAAGGGGGATTTCTGCTCTCCCCTGCGCCGGAGCTGCGTGTGGCCAGTGAAGATGAGGCACGGGAGCCCCGAGCCCCCTGACTTGCTTTGATGCTTGGTCCTCAACGTCTCGGTGGTGTTTCCATCCCACCAGCCACGAGACGTTTTGCCTCTTTATTTTCAAACAGATCTCGGCAGCCGTTCCCTTGAGTGGGGCAACCTCAGCCGTGAGGGATTGCTCTTTTCCAGACCAAGATTTTGTGTTTGTTTGTTTGCTCTGGCAGTTTAGCTGAGTGTGCATTTCCACCTCCAGAACCCTCACACTGTGTATAAAAATGGATAATATATATATATATATAATATATATTCTTGTGAATGTTGGTGCAAAAGAGAAAACTATATAAAGTTTCAGTTGGTTTTATGTTATTTTTTATCTATATGAATGAAAGGAAGAAATGGAAAACATTTTTTTCCATTTACCACCCTTCACACACACCTACCTGTAGATACCGACAGGTTTTATGGAAATGTTTTAATTTTTAGATTTAGGAACATGCTTCTGTTCTCATTGAATGTTCTGTCTTGTAAGATTGTAATTTCTATTTTTTTAAAGAAAAGAAAATGACTAAATAAAATTTCCTCTTTCGGACCAGTCAGCTAGGAAGGGAGGGCAGGGGAGGGAGAAATGTTTATTTAAGGACAAAAGCATTGTCTGAATTTTTCATGACGTAAAATAAAAAGTAATATAATGTATGGATGAAAAACTTTTTACTGAGGTGTATTCTATAGGTATATAGATGTATATTGCGCAAAATTTGCAGGGAGAAAAATAAAGTCTGGTTTACAAGGTAAAAAATCCAATAATTTTGGAAATAGTGACTGTGATTCCAAATTTTAGCAAAGGGTGAGACTGGAAGCAAAGCCCTCAAAGTCATGGAAAAGCCTTTCATTTCTTGAGCAGGCTCAGGATCAAGCTGAACTAGAAGCCCTGATCCAGCACAGAATTTGGACACAACACTAGATCGTAGATGTTGTAAGGTATTATCGGGTCACTTAAAGCTAGGCACATGCTGGGAAGGATCCTGAGATCTGGGAAAGGGCGTCTGGGAAACCTCTGTTCAAACACCATCAAGGCGAGGACAGTGACTGCACCTAGCAGTACTGGGGACACATTTTGGGGCAGGGGGTACGTGGATTTGTTTTCAAGCGGTACCCAGTCAGTCCTAGGCGGGAAGGAAGGAAGATACATGCCCTGGGTACAAGGACTCAGATGCAAGGACTCCTCTCCGTCAGGATGCAGACGGTTGCAAGATATCGCTGGGTATAAAGAGTGCAAATCTCATCCTCATTCCTCCCTTCTGCTTCCCCTGAAAATCTCACCTGGTTGCATGCTCCCTGCTCCCTGCACAAATCCAGAGCTGCTGTGTCCTTCCGCAGCAGCAGTTGAACTGTCTGGGAGCTGTGGAGCAGAGCAAAATAATGAAAAGGGATCCTTGTCCCAGCAGCGTCAGTAAATCCCAGGGTCTCACCTCACCAGCTCCCAGCCGCTACTGCTCTGCCATTCCCGGGAGGCAGCACACGTTCTCCTTCACGGTTCCCACCTGCAGAGTTTACATATTGCAGGATAAAACCTGGGTGCTACTGAGAGCCAACAACGGCCAGAAACATGGCACAGCCTGTGGAGACGTGGGGAAGGGTTATCGTCCTGCCTGGAGATGGAGGGAGCGGCGTTGGGGTGGCCGAGACAGCACGCCGGGACCAGCCGGAGCTGCGGCAGTGACGCGGGTGTAGCAGCCCACGGCCCCACCAAGCTACCACACACTGGCACATTTATCTGGGTTTCATTTTCAAAAAGATGTCTTTTTTTTTTTTCCACAAAAATCACGTTTCTTCGTATTTTGGGGGGGAGGCGGGGGGGGAAAAAAAAATAAAGCGTGGGAACTCCGTTAAAAAATTCTTTGCAAAGGGCTACTCTTTAAACAAAACATGCTTATGAAAAATCGCCTTTCAGTGCCAGGGGAGATGCTGGGAATCATTAACACCCGCAGGCCGTGGGAGCCAGCCCAGGATGGGTCCAGGTGGCCCCTGGAAGCCCAAACACCTTCAGCAAGAGGCGGCGGGACGGGGCCACCTGAGCGTGGCTGTCCCACGGGGGGCACGGCGAGGACAGGAGCTGAGCCCCCGCTGCCTGGTGTCCCTGTCCCCGGGCTCTCCCACCCCGCTGCCCATCACGCCTTCCCCCCAAAAGCGCTCCCCCTCTTACTGGTGGCTCAATGTCTCCAGTAGCACTGGATATACCGGGGCGGAGTGACCTCTACTGGTTTACAGCTAAAATACTCCCTGCGTGGGATGCTTCCAGGAGGATGGAGACAAGAGGCCTGATCCTTCCCTCTCCCCAAATGTCTGGCAAATCCTGCAGGCAGCAGCCCTGCCTGCGCCCGCTTTGGGGAGCAACCCCCAGCAAGGCTGGGCAGCCTGCCTCGAGCAGCAGCTGAACGCAAGCAGGGGGCCCCAAGTCCTTTATTTTAGGAAAACTTTGCAGACTAGGAGAGTGAAGACCTCAGCGTTTGCTAAGTGTGAGAGGGATGAGTGTGAGTCACCCAGCCGGGAGCCTGGAACACCGTGTTTACAGAAACCGCAGCCCCAGGGCTTGTAAATGTTTTTAAAGTGGAGTAGGGTTTATATACAGCCAAATTAACTGTATTTACATAGAGCTGGTGCCTTGGAGATGTAGGGGTAACTTCGTTAAGGAGTCTAACGCAGTGTGAATAAGGAGTTAAGCAGCTACAGAACCAAACAAAAGTGTATAAATCCAGAAAGCGTCCAAGCGCTGCTGTCGGCGTGGCTGGGTAGGGGCTCCCCGGCACCCCACGGCCGGGCTGCAGCGGCACAAAGGCTCCGGAGCGGTTTCGCTGTCCGACCGTCACCGTCCCGTTTTGTGGAACTGCAGCAGGGAGGCCACGCCAGCACCGGGTGCTGCTGATTCACCCAATTTACTAGGAAGTGAAATCGGGATTTAAAGGCACAAGTTATAAACAGCAATGACCGTGATAGCTGTGAACTAAGATTATTAGAAAATAAGTGTCTGAGGAATAGAATTGTTAGGATCAATTTAAGCTGTTTTAACCATTTACCCGTTGTGTGGTTGAACAAATACTAACTTTTTGAGGAATAATTAGAATAACTTTAGCATAAGGAACTCATAAATAATCTTGAGACGGTTCAGCCTTGTATTAGCAGGTGCAAAGGAACATAAAGGTAAGGAAGCTGCAAATTAGCAACAAAACCAGACCAGGCCAGCCTTGAAGGACAAGATCTATGTGACCACAGGACTGAGTTTGCACAGAAGTAAGGATCAAGTGGCAGACACAGTGAAGACGACTATAAGCCTTCACCTAAAGACCCCCCGATGACCACCTGAAGCCTCCAACAGCCATGCGCAAGAAACATTAACATATGCTAACGAGTTCCTGGAAAAGTTTTGAATATGATAAAAATATGATAAAAATGCAATGAATATGTGTGATTATGGCAGTATGCATGCTTGTTGATCTTGTTTTCCAACACAATTAGAAGGAGCTCTCCCCTGTGTGTCCGGCGCTGTAATAAAGAATGCCTGCTTTCCAAAACTCAAAAATTGCGTCTTAGAGAGTGAACTAATTACCGCTTTCTGGTAACAACCGCACAGCCCCGGTCCGGAATCCAGCTCTCACTGCATTTAGTACCAACCCTGAGCTGGCAGCTGGTTGGAGCCGGAACGCGCGGGTGCTGCCAGGAGGGGCCCGGCATCAGCCCCCCCATCCCACTGCCACTCAGGTTACCTGAAAACTGTACCGACCCGGTATCGTTTTCCCCGCGGGGACGGGGACGGGGATGGGCCCCGACGCGCCCCGCCCGCCCCCCGCCAATTCTGTCCCTCCCTGCCGCCCGTAGCGGAGTCAGCCACGCCTCAGCCGGCTGGCCCCTCACGTGATGAGCGGGGGGCGTGACGCGGGGCACGCTGGGAAGTGTAGTCCGAACGGTCAGAAGCGCTGCGGCGGCCGCCGTTGCGGGGACTCTCTTTCCCAGCGCGCCCCGCGGTGGGCTCGGGAGAGCGGGGCTCCGGCCGTCTGCGCCTTGAGGTGGGCACGGTGAGCGCCGGGCCGGGCCGGGCCGCGGGGGGACGGCGCCGGGCCGGGGACAGGCCCGGGAGTGGCGGGAACAGCCTCGCAGGAGGAGTGGGACGTGGGAGCTGGGGGTCGGGAGGGAGCGCGGGTGGCTCTCAGGGACTCGTGGTGCAGCGGGCCCGCCCCGGGAGTGTCGGGCGGGGGGGGGGGTGTGACAGAGCTCCCTCGGCTTTGGGGGTGTATCAGGGGCTGGCGGTGGGGCAGCGGGGAGTGCCCGGGGAGGGGGATAGCCCCAGGACCAACAGCGATGGGGGTAATGGGGACAGCGGGGGGAGGTGGCAGGGGAGGGGGTGCCGGGGGAGCCTGTGCTTGGGGAAGGTATCGGGGACAAGTCTGGGGGGGATGGCGCATGTGTGGGGAGGAATCGGGGACAGCCCTGGCAGCGGGGAGGGATTGGGGTCAGCTCCGGTGGGAGCAGCTATCGGGGGCACCGTGTGCGGGCGGTGCTGGAGGCAGCCTCGGCGGAGGGCGGTGAGGGGGTCCCGTGCCCCCGTTGGAGCGCGATGGCGGGAATCTGCTCCCGTCCCCTCCGGGCTGCAAGCACCCTGGCTGCGCTCTCCCATCCATTCCCTGAGGGCTGCTCGGGGATTTTCCTCTCATGGTTGCTTTCTGCCTTGGCGGGCCCCAGCCCGGCTGGCCGGGACACAACAGCCAGGGGCTCCCAGGGGAGCGCAGGGCAGGCCAGGGCGATGAGGCCGGTGTGCTCGGGGCGAGGCGAGCACAGGCCAGCTGCACGGCTACTGCTGGGGAAATTCATGTAAGTGGCTCTCCAGGGACTATGAGGAGCGAGGCTGAAGCTTTTTGATGTGTGTGGTTTGTGTACTAGCTCTTTCACATACTGCCCTTGATAGAGACACGAGCATTGTGATTTTATCTTCCCCTCGCTGGTCTTAGTTTTTTTGTGAGTATTAACTTGCTCAGGAAACTCTTATCTGACCCTGTGATGAAGAGAGCGGGGAGTCAGAAATCAAGCAAGTAGCTGATGGATTGTTTTACCTGCTTTTTAGTGTTTTTCTTGGCCAACTAATGTTGTTGCTACTATCTGCAGGCCAGGTCTTCTACGTGAGGCCAATCCGAGTAGGTGACAAGCTGTGAAATAGGCTTGTGCCCTGAACATGTGTGTTTCTGTGCTTTTTGTCTTCCTCTTGAGCCTTCTGCAGTTCTGACCCTGAGCGGCTGAGCTTTACTTCTAGAAGCAGACATGCCAAAGTCAATATTTGTCTGCTGCAGGTTCCATAGTACTTAAATTAAGGCTTCTGCCCATCTGCTGAAGCAGTAGATGTGGCTGTGTAAACAAGCCAGGAGAGACCTGAGGGCGAATTGCTTCTGATTGTGCTTTCTCACCAGCTCCAGGACAGGTGGAGAGGGGGCAGCAAAATGCCCTGTAAATCCAGGAGTCCCCAGGAGACTCCTGTAGCCTGGAGCTGTCTGTTGGACTGATGTGGGAGGAGGCTAACCCTTGCTAACTTTACTGTTCCCTGTGCATTTTCTCAGTGGCAGTGCTGCCATAAACAGTTTCCCCATTCTCACTGGTCATGCTGGGCGGCTTTTGGAATTACTGTTTTGGCTGCTTTTGTTGCCTCATCTAATTAGAAGCACAGCACTGCAAGCACTGCGCTGGCGTCCCTGAAGGGGCCGTGTCGCACTCCACAGGGGTTGGCAGCACACACCGGGGAGAGGAAACACTATCAGATACAAACTGTGTCAGCTATACAAAGTCTAGATTCATAAAGCTGAGCCAAGCATTTTGGTGCCTTGCAGAGTGACCTTTGCTGTCTTGGGCTCTCTGGAAAGTTCCTGATAAGAGTTGGGCATCTGAATGACATTCAAAACCAGCCTTTTCTCTTAAAATGAGTGCAGAGTCACCACTTCCTTTTTAAATGCAACCAGAGCCATCAGAGCAAGGCATTTGCTGTCTCAGGAACACTGTGTTGGTTCCCTGTCGAACCTGATGGCTTCAAATCCACATCTCCCAGATCCCTGGGGGGTGTCCTTGCTTTTAGACCATTTGCTTTTCTGAAATGTCTGGGGTCTCCTGGCTTGCAGCACGAAGTGACTTCCTAAAGCCTGGTCTCTGGTGATCGCCCTCACCAGAAGGGTAAGCTCGAACCACTTTCAGATGTGTGTTGTTCCTAGGTCTTCTCATTCCACTTGTGCTCTGATCATTAAATCACTGTCTTACGAGGCAGTGTTGGCAAGTTCTTGCCGTTGCTGTTACATTTGAGTTCTGCCCCTTGATTTGCTTTTGGCAAAGTACCTTTAACAGGTCTGTGTAGAAGCTCTCAGCCTCGCTACAGTCATCATATTGGAATGAAAATATAAAAGCAGTGAAGAAAATATCCTAGAGCAAGACTTGGGAAGCTGGTGAACTTTTCTGGATGGAAAGCTTAGGATGCTGGGCTCTTCTGGGCTTGGCTGGAACATCTCCAGATGGCATGAGAAGAGCTGGTGTCCAGTGAATCTGGTCCTAGGGAACTTGCCTCAGGTCACCAGGTGGGTTTATACCAAAGCAGGAATGAGTTCAACTCTCCCACCTCCCTATCAGCACTCTTCTTTTGGCCTGTCCTTTATTTATTAACCTATAGCATCCTTCTCTCTTTTTGGAGAAAGAGTAGTGAGAAGTAACTGAAACTTTTAAAACTACTGTAATATAGGCAAAATAAACAAAGGGACTAAATAGTAACATATGTGCAGTTATATAATGTGCCTCAAGCAAATTGCTGCAGGTATTCCTTCACAAAATTTTCCCTAATCTGAGATGGTGAGATGAGTTCCTCACTAAAGTTACATTCAAAGTAATCATGTTGTTGTCCGCCTATAAAAACAGTGCTGCTTGTGTACGTGTCTTGGCTTAAAAGGAAAATGCTGTCTCTTAAAATGATACTGGGCATTTTTGTCTTTGGAACACTGGGGAAGAAAAGCTCTGACTGTCTCCAGTGGGCTCTTGTGAGTCATGTGCATTGGACTGTAAACTTTGGTGTTATTCATTGACCACGGATGAGCACAGTGGAAAAAGGAAGTTCACTTCACACCATGATTTCCTTAGCGTGTGTGGTTTTTTCCTCCCGCTGCAAACAGTGGATTATGTATGAAGAACTCTCTGCAGTGGAGTGCAAGATGTTGGGTTTTGTCTATTCCCAATTAAACTGAAAATGTTCCGGTGAATAGAGAGCTTACTTATATGTGGTGTTATCTTGTGCAAATTCACATGAGGTTGAATTATACCTGTTTATCTGCATTTGCTGCGAATCTATTTCTTTATGCCAGGATCTCACAACTGGAACTTGACTTGAGAATGTTCAGGCTGCACAGTGAAATTTTTGCCCTAAAGGAGTTTTAGCCACTGGCCATCCAAGCTGAGCAATGTCACCACTTATTAGACACAAGACTCTTCCCTGACTGTACATCTGAGGCCTGTTATCCCGAGATTCTGCAATTAAGTTTGCAGCAATCCTGCCAAAATTATGTGGTGGGCTGGGAAGGTATGAAAACAGCAACTCCTGTGCAAGTACATCTCAGAGCACTGAACAAAAATATTGGGTTGGATCCTAGAGTCTTGAGTTCCTGCCTGTGAAAGGTTTGAGATTGCTGCCATAGGTGTCTGGGGGGGAAAGCTCCCTTTGCTTTCACTGGGAGCTGGGCTGGGGTCTCAGTGCAGCTGAACCGGTAGAAGGTCAACGTATTTCAGAAACTGATTATTTAGTTGCAAAAATAAATATTCTTAATACTGCTTTGCGGTTCCAAAACACGTCTTTCTGTAGGGAAATTATAGTTGTCCCAGGAACTTCTGTGAGTTTACTCAAAAAAGCAAAGGTTGCCAAAGAGAGGAATATTTGGTAGTTTCAGTTGTAGCTTCTTTATGTGATAATCATAGAACATCTCAAATTGGAAGAGACCTGTAAGGATCATCTCTGTCTTCAGAGCATTAAACCATGGCTGAGATTTGTTAGGAAATGAGCCGGTAAATGAGAACAACTGGGTAAAATGAGAAGGAAGTGGATCAACAGAATGCTGCTTTCTGTGTTCTCTGGTTTTGATTCATTTATTTGAGTTAAAGCCACTCAACTGCACCACAGTTGTCTCCCTGAGAAAGGAGGGCACCCAAGAGCTACTGTTTGGCCATGCTGCCCCGTCAAACCAGGAATGTGTCCCTTGGTCTTTCCTTCTGGTCTCTTTTCCAGCAGACGTACTGATGCCTCCCACCACTCTGCAAGACACTGGCACTGAAGCACATGAACTAAATAATCGTCTTTTAAAGGTGGACGTTACTCATTTGCTCAGCTTTCAGTGAAAGATTATTTTCTCTTAGTGCTTTAGCATAACTGGTGTTTGTGTGTCAGTTGTTCTTCCCCCCCAAATTTACAGAACTCAGCTGGGAGCAGCTGCAAATGGGTGAGGTGAAGTTTTAATTGTATTCTTAACTGTCCTCATGCTTTATTTTCTATCCAGGCATTTTAAAAAGGCAGAGCAAAATGCTTCTATTTCTAAATCATAAGTTACAAAACGCCTGTCAGACACTGGGTCATCTCTACATTGTGGGAAAGCCCAGAGGCTTCTGCTGTGACAGGGCGCCTGCATACGAGCCTTTAACCAGGGAGTCCCAGCCCTGAGTAGCTCGCCAGTGACATAGCTTTCCTGTTCACACTCTGTTGCTTTCTTTAGCCTGGTACAGGCAAAATGATATATTGTCCTCTATGTAGATGTAGTTAAGCTTGTATATAACTGCATCTCTACGTACAGGAAGAATAAGCTGCCTGTACAGGTCTCACTTCTGATCAGAGTGCCACTGTCTCCACCAAGGACTGTGCTAGAGTAGTTCAATTAAAAAGTAAAGTAAATGCAACCCCAATGAAATAATTGCGCCAGTGTAAACTTTGCAACCTCCAGACCATACACAGGGCGCACAGGAGGACAGCACAGAGGTGCAAAAAAGGGAAACAAGCTGCTACAAATCCCACGGGCTTTGGATACAGCACAGCTATTCTAACCTCAGTGCTGTGAGTGCTGGCAGCAGCGTGTGGCGTTTGTTGTGTTTTTGTAGGGGCAGTTTCTAGTCTAGGCATCCTTCATTCTTGGTAACTCTTGTCAGACCCTGCAGTACAGTGCTGGTTTAGGGAGTTGTTCTGTGGTATTCTGTGTTTCCATTCTGGGATTTGCAGGTAGGGGCACATGGTGTTTTTATTCTTAGTGAAGAAGGGGTAGAATCAAAGCTCAGCACAGACCCCTCTGCGGCTTTCATCTGTGTGATCAGTTCTGCCACAACAGGCAACACGGCTGATGCTGAGTAAACTTTACACGATTTGATTGTTCCAGAATTCTGGTCATGTTCAGTGGTGTCAACAGGAAGAACGAATCTGCATTTTAAGAAGGGTTGTGCAGAATTATTAAAATAATGAGGGATGTTGGGTTTTGTGTACCAGCTGATTATGTTTGTTTTTTGTTTTTTTTTTTTTTTTTTTAACAGCAGTTTGCTTCCCAGCTAACAGTGATTATCTGTTTCAGCAGTTGGGAAGGTCTGCAGGGAACCAGGAGCCAACAAATCATCTCAACCCCTAAATGAGGCATTAAGTCTGGTGAGCTCGTACAAATTTCTCTTCTGATGCTTGTGTTTTGCTGGGTTCCACCCAGACCTGTCTGTCTCAGCTTGTTGTCGGGCTGCAGCTGGAAGGTACACATGTTCTGGCAGTGGCTCTCTGTGAATCCTCAGCCTTTGCCAGGTGCCACTAAGAGCACATTTGTTTGCTGCTGAATAATACAAGCCTTGGAAGCGGTTGACAGTGAGGTTGTGCTGAATGAGATGCTACCAGGTGGTGCTTCATCTGAACAAGGAGAAATTGTTATCCTTTCTGTAAGGTTCCAGCATGCCTACTTTGGGCAATTGGAGACGAACAGTTTGTAGTGGGAAGCCCGGGCTCACAGTCTGTTAAACACTGTGCTGGAGATACTCCCAATTCCAGGAGGTTCTCTGGGTGCTGGTTAGTGACATGTGCTGACCTGATTTTTCTTTCTCTAATAGATCTGTTGCTATCTGTCTGAAACTTCATCAGGGAACACTCCCAATAGAAATGGCAGGTAAGAGCACCTCAAAATACACCAGTGTAGGGGGAACGGTTTCAGAGAATGTTCTTCAGTATCCTGTGATTGCTGTAATGCATCAGGTATGCAACATGTGTCCCTTCCTGAGGTGTTGGTGATCCCTAAAGCTCTTCAGCTATTTCTCTTTTCTTGTCTTGGTCACGTTCACTTTTACACTGTATCCACTGTAGATCTGTCAGCTGAGGTTGCTGTTCTAGTGGTAAAGGCTCAGGTGTGACTTGTTTGAAAGTTTTATGAGGATGGAATTTATTCACAAAAAAGTACATGATACTAATTCCTCCTTTACAAAGGCCAAACAGTTTTCCACAGCATTCCTAGCTGTATTGTTAATATTAATAAGTTTTAATTTTACTCATAGTGAAATTACTAACAAAATTCCTCCCAACTTTTTTAAGATAAAGAAAGACTGGGACTTCCATACAGGTGCTGTTCCTTGGTAATACAGTTTGGGTTTTGAAAGCATGGACTGTGCTTGCTTATATGACGTGTTGATCCTAGCCTTGATGGGAGTGCTGTAGCACTCCAAGCTATTCATTCAGACATGAAAGGGGATATTTTCATTTGATTTCTTTTGTCTGTTCTTGGAAATAATCCAGAACAGTTAAAAACTACAGAATCACTGTGTGGGAGAAAGTGGTCATCTGGCTACTTGCAGCTGGGCAACAACTGAGAAGAGGTGTAATCCCAATCTTTGTGTACCTAGCAAACAAGTGTGGAAGCATTTGGAGCATTTTGTGAGCTTGCAGAATGACAAACTGCAGTGGCTGGTGCCCAGCAGACCAGTTGGTTCTGGCCTCACCGTTTGGGGATTTCTGCACTAGAGGCTAGCAGCAACTCTACTGCCCGTGTCAGATCTGTACTGTAGGAGAGTGAAAATGGAAGAGAGCAGAATCAAAGTAACTAGCTTCAGCTGTTGAAGAGGGACAGAATGAAATTTTCCTCATCCCTCAGAAAAAAATAAAAAAGATTGTTAGAGAATCTGCTTTGACTGTGGTCAGTTAATCTTGCTCTTATTGACTTCCCTAGAGAGCTGTCTCTTTAGCTTTAAAAGCTGTGCCCCCTTCCTTTCCTTTGATCCAGCATTGTTATGTCCTTTTGTAGGCTGCTGAGGTAGACTGTCCAGGAGAAAGCCCATTAAGTGTTTATAGCAAACAAAAGTTCTTAGTGCTACGAAGTCCAAATTCCTATGGACTTCAAAAGCAGCCACGGGACATCAGCACTACATGTGATGGGGTCAGCAGTAGGTGTTAACCAGTAACTAATACCAGCTTTGGAGGGCATCTGATTAGTGTAAAATGCATTTGGCAGAGATGGGTGAGAAGGGGTAGAAGACTTAATGTTTGTTTTTATAAGGAAAAGCCTACTGAAAAGTCAAGCTGGGCTGGTGACTTCAGACACTGTTCCATATTTAATTCTGATGTACTCACAGTGGGCGTTATCCTCACCATATTTTCTGTGTGAAAATATGCCTTTCCTTTGCATGAAGTAAAGCCTTTTCTTTCCTAAAGCATGACATACAGCTTTAGACTCTTTCCTGCCAACCTTCAAATGAAGCTAAGAAGCTGCTCATGCAAAATGTCTTCTCACACAGAGGTAATGGCAAGAGAAGGGGAACTCTTGTGCTGACAGCTCTTGTTCAGACATTTCCTCTCGTCTTCTGTGCCATTTGGAGATTTTCCCAGGACATTCTTCATCTCTTCCTCTGGTTGTTTTTAATTCTGTTTACTGGGGCTGAAGTAGACTAGAGACAATTAGTCACAATGCCCTGGAATCAAACTTTAATCAGCACTGGAAGGCAAGAGCAAACGTTCCCAAACATGTAGAAGCGCGCATCCAGGCACACACACATACACAGACAAACCTGCACATCTGTCTAGAAGCTGATAGCAGCTTAAATTCAGAAGATTTGGGCATTTTTATTTGATTTTAAGACATAATTTCTTCCCAAGGTAAGGTTTTCTTCACCATATTGCTTTTGCCAAAATTTGCTGATTTACTGTATCTGAATGCAAAGCTGCTTTTTTTTTTTTCTCTTTTTTTTTTTTTTTTTTTTTTTTTTTTTTTTTTTTCCTGGGGCTTACCCTTACAGGAAAAACTTGACTTTTAAAGAAAAAAGGGTATGTTCATGCATCTTGTCACAACAAAATCATCCCTGACATCTGAACTGGATGGTATCTGAGTACTAAATCACAGTTTGAGAGATGCTTTACAAAGGCAGCCTTCCTCACTGTCACAGGGACATACCTACTAGAGGTCCTAAGGCTCGACCCATGCGCCAGCAAGCCCACCTACTCAGAGCTTGTGTCTGAAGATAAATCTGCTTGTCTGGACAGTCACCAGCCTTTCCTCTTGCTTTGGTTTTCTGAGAGGTTGTAACTAAAAAGCTCTGTGCAGCCTGTTTCCCCCAGATGTTGCTGGCCTCTCCTCCTCCTTCCTGAGCAACCTCATCGTGGAGCTTATTTTGAGGTTTTTATCTTGCAGCACCTTTCACATAACTTTACACTGATGTGTAAAGGCATTAAATCCACGTGTTATTATCTCATTTCTATTCCTTGCTCTAAATCTTGCATGTGCTAGTTTAAATGTTGTGTCCACGGCTGAGGAAGGAGAACAGAGAGTTTGGTGTCCGAGTGAGGGTGAACGTGTTGCAGTGAGTAGTGTGAATGGCCAGAGCTGGCAGTGGTTTTCACTTTTGATTCTCGTGAGTCCCCTCGACCTCGGGGTCCACAAGTGTGTATTGGGAGGGTGTGGAGGATATTACTCTTGCTCAGCCATATGAGAATGTTTCTGCATTCAGCTAATACCTATGTTCTGCATTGTAGAAAAGGTGAATAACTTCCCACCGCTCCCCAAGTTTATCCCTCTGAAACCATGTTTCTACCAGAACTTTGCTGATGAAATTCCCATTGATTATCAGTCTCTGGTGAGGAGGATCTACCACGTATGGATCTGTAAGTTGAATAAGAAACCTGTGCTGGGAGAACATATGTGTGTAGTGAAAAAACAGATCTCAACAACTTACATGTTTTGAAGTTTTGACTGCAAATAGTTGATGAGAAACAGTGATTTATTTTATAATATTGTAATATAATTTTATGCCTAGATTTTAAGCTGCTGTGCCTTGAATTTTTGCCACGTAGCTGCTGTTGAAGAAAGGAGAGAGTATCAGTGCTAGAAAAGTCTATTAGTAAATTGGAGGAGGAAAAAGGCAGACTGCATGTGATGCTTTTATTAATGTCAAGTGATGTTTTACTCCCCAAAATAACCCTCTTAAAGTAATTCCCAGTTCACCTAAACTGAGATGAATGTTAGGCAAGAAAATAAATGTATCCCACGTGTTCACTACCTGTCTCGCCACCTCGCTATAGGAAGGCTGAAATTCTCCCTTGTTTGTGCCATCTGCAGATTTCCCTTCCCAGTCAAAGCAGTGTCTTCTAGCTGCGTGCTGTCTCTTCCTTAGCCTAACCTGCAAAGTGTTCCCAGTCCTGCTGGAGAAAGGCACTGATCCTCTTGGTCACAGCTGGTGATTTGCTGATATTCTGTATGAACAGCTCTCTTGGCTCTGGGCTTGTGTTGTCTGGCTTAGCCATTCAAAAGCCAGTAATGAAAATTGACCATTCTTCTCCAAGGAATGAAACCGGATGAAGAATGGTGTGGCAGGCCTAGAAAACCACAGGGAATGCTTTGGAAGATTAAAAATCTTTTTACCTTGCTTATCTTTTTTTCCCCAAATGCTTGTCATCCTATTTGCCCTTCTCACAGAAGGAAAGCTTGTTTTCTGCCAGATATGCATTTGGTGGCATGACTTTTATTCCAGATGCATAGGATGTGTGTATGAGAGAGATTTGTGTGCATAAATAATAGCATAATCTATCACTCCATTGTTCTTTCGTTATTTAGAGATGCTGAAATGAGCTCTGTAATTTTCTTGCCTGAAGAAACTGCTTGTCCCTTCAGACTAACTGGTTAAATGTTGCGTGCTGTAAAGCTGCCTTTGTCTGCGACTCTCCCCAAACAAAGCGTCCCTCATTCAAGTTAATGGCAGGCTGGAAAGGTGCCAGCCATTTGGGCAACTAGTCCACCATGGTTGAGGAGACCTGGCATTTTCACCAGGAGTGTTAAATTTCCATCTGCAGCACGCTTTCTTTTGGGGTGTCCCTGACAGTTTGGGATGGGATGGAGAGACACGCACCTGTGGAGGGGAGGTGGTAAACAAGAAAAGGCTGGTGTTAAAAATAGAAACACGAAAATCGTCGCTAGAAGGTTGAATGCTCATTAGTTGGATGTGAACACTTTATTAAGGTGGGTGGTGATTTGAGGAAACCTGTACCAGAGCTCCCACTGCTGGAGAACAAACTCCTACCTGATGTGCAGGGAGAACCAGAAGTTCCTTGAAACTTGATAGGTGCTCTTGGCCTGGTGTTTTTTGTTTTGTTTTTTTTATATTAAGTAACTTTTGGATAAGAAATTAATTTTGAAAATTAAAATTTGGAGAAGTACAGCTAATTACTTATAAATTAAATTTAAATAATTAAAATTCTTTTCTCCCCCAATATTAAGGTACATCCAAACCATTGCGTATAAAGCCTTGTTGTTAGCCACTCAGAAGAAATTTTCTTTGTAGTGAAACAATGTTTTATTTTAACTCCTATATAATTTGTATGTCAGAAGCAGCAGCTGGGTTCAGATGCTTTCCACGCTAGATTTTCCTGACTGTGTTGTCAATATTGTTTTACAACCACAAAACTCTGTAGTTGTTCAGCAACCCCTGGGCTGTGTGGAGGCAGGTGGGTCTGTGCCAGGAGGAGGAAAGAGTCGGGAGAGGCCAGACTGGCATTGGGCATCAGAGGACCGAGCCAGTGATGTGCAGGCATGCTGCAGAGCCACTGCGTGTAGTGAAGCAAGGAGTGGGCAGGGCATGTTCACTTACCATGGGTGAAGAGAAATTCAGGGATTTAATTCGGACTGAATAAATGAGGCCAGGCTCCAAAATGTTACTGTGAGCTCATCACCAGGTGGTACCGAAGAGTCTTTCGTGTTTAGACCTTCCACCTTCTCATTTCTCTTTGTCTGTGCTAATACAGATACAGGTTACTGCAAAGTTTTTAAAGCGTTACCACCTGTTTTCTAAAATAGGAGCTCGTAATTGAGCTAAGCCTCTCTGACACCGGCAGAGCCTGGGGGGCATGGCAGGACAGCTGCAGGGAGTCCCTGGAGTCTTGAGGGGAGTGCATGGAGGAAAGTGGGGAGCCCCTGGCATGGGGATTGAGCGCAGCCTGCGAATTGTGCAGCCCCCTTTGTGGTGATGTTGGGCTTCAGGGGAAGCAGGGAGCAGCGTCACTTCATGCACATTACTTACCGCAGCACTGGTGTGCTCTGGGGGCCGCTGTCAACTGTTCCTCTTTATCCAAGTGGCAGGAACAGGGCTGTGAAGGGGCCCTTAAGCCACCCCTGTGGTCCCATGTTCTCAGCCCGATTGGAGTTTGCTTATCCCCTCGCTCAAGGCAGCACTTACAAGCCCTGAAGCTAACTTCCAGGCTCCCTCAGAGGCTCAGGGAAGTGGAGAGCAAGCCTGCAAGGCGGTTAGCTGGCTCTGTAATAGCTCCCAAGGCAGCCTCAGCAAGCACAGAGACCAGAGTAATATTGAGGCTGGGTGTAGAGCAGTGTTTTACACCCCTCTGCTCTCATAAAGGGGTTTTGCTACAAATGGGAATTGAATCTTGCTCATAATTCATTATCATACTGGCCCAGGTCTTGTGTTGGTTGCACTGGTTGCTGCTGAGCTCTCCATCCTTTGGCAGGTCCCAAAAGAGTTTCCTACTCCCTCTGGAGATGGATGTGTCAGTGCTACCAGTTCCTGGGGTCACGCAGGAACATGTAGCTCGCTTGGAGCATTATTGGACTTGAGTTTCCCACTGCAGCCTGGACCCTTCCTATTACAATACCAGGTGTTTGTTTCCTTTTTGCGTGGAGACATGAAACTGCACAACCTCATGTTCTTTCCTCTGCCCTCTTTACAGTTTACTGCATCACACTAGTAGTGAATATAATTGCATGCCTGGCATGGTGGATTGGAGGAGGCTATGGGGTCAATTTTGGTTTGGCAATCCTCTGGCTTATCCTCTTCAGTCCCTGCGGCTACGTCTGCTGGTTCCGACCTGCGTACAAAGCCTTTCGGTAAGTAGAAGCCTGCAAAGCAGTTTTGTTTTGGTTTCCTCTGGGAGAGGTGTGTCGTTACAGGGGAGTGCTCCTATGGACATCTCTCTGTCTGGGATAAAAGATTAAGAACTTGATGTCTGAATGTCTTGTTTACTGTGGAAATGAAGAAGAATGTGGCTGCTTTTAAATACTGGACGCAGGATGAGCAACAGCGAGTAGTTTGCCACTTCCATGAGGATGAAATTCATATTTTACTTAAATATCTCAAGCTTAGCATCCTCATAACAGTATAGCATTAAGATAGATACTAATTTGCTAAAGCTTCATTGAGGTTTATTTTGATGGAAGACTGCTAAGTTATTAGTTTCTGAGTACTCCTGTTTTTTGTGTCTAGATACTTGAGAGCTTGGCTGCTTTGCTTTCTAGATAAAAGCAGTTCCCTGGAGCAAGCCTTTCTGGAACTCCACAAATATTTAAAGCCATCCTACATTGAAACTTTAATTAATAATCTTTTGCATTTACTCATGCTTGCTGAGGATCACAAAGCATTATTCAAATATTAATGCATAATCTTTGTCAGAGCCATGAAGGTCCCAGGCAGTTTCCAGCCAGGCACAGAGGAGGGGAGGGACCTGCCCAGTGTCACATTGGGGATCACTGGCACACCCCACCCACCAGTCAGGGATTTGGACTCTGAAGGTGAAATTCCTTCTGGTTCCCCATTACCAGAATACTTTGGGGTTTGATTATTCACCAAATTCTGTGATGGGTTGGTTTAGGGTGATAGAAATGGGAGTTGGCAAGTGAGGTCCTGCCTATTTAACACATGCTTTGTTGTTTAAATGCTTTTCTGAATATAAGCTTTGTATGCTAACAATTCTGGGCAGTTAATGCACTGGTGATACTTAAAACATCAGTGACTACATCATGGAATGCAAGGGAAGATGATTTCTGATGGAAACAGAAGGCCACTGGGTTGGATTCATCTGAAAGTTTGAAAAGACATGAAATACCAGCTCTGAACTGTTGCACTCTGGGGCTGGGGTTTTGTCCCCATCCCTAGTTCAGAAGCCCCAAGGCCTCCGAGTGCCAGCTAGAGCTCTGTTCAAAGAGCAGTTTCCATTCTGAAGTCTGGGAAGAATTACTCCTCCCTGTTGACCTCCTCTGGGCTTCACAGGGACCGTTTCTAATTATTTCTTTAATGTTGTTTGTATGTGTTTATGCAACTGAATACTGAAAGGTCCCTGAGGTTACTCTGTGTAAAGACTCCACAGTTAAAAAAAGAATAAGCCCTAGGGACAGACTGGCAATCCCAGAGATCATTGACTTCGATATCCCTTGTAGAAGAGCCTTGAAAAACACTAGTGGGACAGCACTGTTTCTTGTGGGATCACAGCTAGTGGTGATTCAAGAAAGCGAGGTCAGACCCAATTGCTATGCTTGTTCTGGGAAGAGGCAACCCTTCAATATTGGCACCATGTACCGCAGGGATGCTTTCGTAAAACCATCGTCAGACATCTGCCTCCAAAATTAAATTAGCAGCAGAGCTTTGGCACTACAGCAAAGCTATTGCAAATCTGCACCAGAAAGCTGGATCAGAAATCACCTTTTCTGTGTACCCTCGCTAATTCCCACAGATCCTTTCAAATGAAGACTCCTCCAGCCCCTTCAGGTTGTAGTTGCAAGAGTCTGAAGGCTCAGCTTCAAGCCTAATCCTTGTTAATTGGATTATGATAGGCACTACTGCGAACAGTCCATGTTTAAAGTATTTCTTTCACACTGCTGTACTCTGAGGTGGTATTTGAAGGGCAGGATCAGGAGCATACTCAGTAATGGCAGATTTCTTTCACAGCATCTCTGTGGCCATCTTTTGAAAGACAGAAGGTGACCGTACCAACACACGCGGCCCAGAGTGGCAGGGGTCTGGCTGGAGGCTTGTCCGCTTGTCTCGGACTAGCCAGGGTCCACAGTATTGACTTCTTCAGAGTCTGGGGTCCTGCCTCCCTCATCTCCTCTTTAGGCGTTAGGGCCTAGATTTATAATACAAACATTAAAATAATAATTAAAATACTTTCAGGGCTTGAGCAAGAGCTGGGAATGACTGGAGCTCTTTTGTAAACTCCCCCTTGCACCAAGCTGCCTCATAAGCGACTGAAGTGGTTTTTTTATAAATCTCTTCTGTAAATCATGAGCCCTTTGAGTTCCTGAGTGAATGGGAATCGTTTGTATCATTAAAAGTGATAGTTTGGGGAGTTTTAGATGTGCCTGGGCTTACAGTGGCTCATCAACATAGCTGATTTAATGGGATGAAGATGTTCTGCTGCAGTTCTGTGGCAGAGCCAAAAGTTGGGCAAGTCAGTGCTGTGCCCCAGTGCACCCATGATGGAGAAACTGTGAACGTACCTAGTCAGCCTTCTTGTTTGGGATCGTATTCATGCTGCCTGTTATACCTGCATAAATTAAAGGACCTCACATATTCGGGATCCTCTGAACCTGTACATCCTGAAGATGTGGAGCCTGCAAAGATGTGAAAGCATGCTTCTGCATTTCCCAAGGCAGGGTACCACCCGCTTCTCTTACGGCTGTTTTTCCTCCTATTATGTCCCAGTGATGGATTATTAACCGTGGGTGTGTAAGAGTGATGACGAGCAGCCACTGAGACATTCCCAGCTGGAGTTCTCATGCTCAGTGATCACTTTTAGCATATGGGCAAACTCTGCCTGCTGGTGTTCAGGCCCCCTTGTGCCTAATTGCCAGTGGCTGAACTGCACAGGTGTCAGGCTGTCTTCAGATGTTTGGTCAGAGAATCAATTCAGGCACTCTCTGTTCTGCAGGAGATTGCCTCTCCTCAGGTGTCATCATCTATGCAGTTGCTTTGGTAGAGCAATTGCAGGAGCCAGGCTTATTGGAAGAGGTTAGGCACTGATGATTTGTGGATCTGCATGCTTTCACTGCCAGGGAGAGAGGAGTAGCCTTCAAAGTGCGTAGCTGCAGAGGGCTCTCTTCTGAGATAGCACGTTTGAGGGTTTGTATGTGATGGGGTCAAACATCAGTGTGAAGCAACGTGAGGTGCCAGTCTCCTTCTAACTTTCTCTCTTCCTTCCCAGGTCGGACAGCTCGTTTAATTTTATGGCCTTTTTCTTCATCTTTGGTGCACAGTTTATTCTCACAGTCCTGCAGGCGATTGGTTTCTCCGGATGGGGAGCTTGGTAAGCAGGGTGCTGCTACAGTCTTATAGCTGGGCACTTGGGCTGTGGGCTGTTTCCATGTACTTTTGAGAAACTGGTCTGTACAGGGTGGAGTGGAAAGAAGCTTTCTGTTTTCTTCTGTGGCACAGTTGGATCTGCTCTTGGAGTAGACAATTTTGTTTTCATTGCTGTATTGGCAGAAGTCGGATATCTTCACCTGCTTGTTCTTTTTATCACCTTTCCATGATGTCCATTTCTTTTTACCATTTAACCAGCCAGTTTCAAGATTCATCTGATCCTCTCTTAGCATTGCCCGCAAAGTATTCACAGCACATGGTGAGCAGTGCATGATGACTCACTGTTGGCCTATAGAGCAAGTATTGTGAGAGTTGTCCTAAAATAAATGGGAGCATTTTAATGTCTGTCCCTGGTTATAATTGTGTGGCATTTTAACTTTCTGTCTCTAGAGACTTGAGAGCAATTCCTGCTGAAACTACAAATAATAGAAAGTCTTAGCACTCCATATACCGCTTTGTTTTTTTAACTGCTGATGCTCTCCAGTTGTCCTACCTGGTTATTGCCATCAGAGGAATAGAGATGCAGTGGAAATCACAGGACCCTCATGTTCCCTGTTGCCAGGTCTGGTCTCTAGACACACAGCCTCTGCACAACTGAAAACACCTGAGGAAAAAAATACTCTTTTCCCTAAGTCTGGGCAGCTGGCTGTCCCCTGAAGGTGTGAGATCGGATTAGTGAGGGATGCTGGCAAACAAGATTTGAGATCTTGGGGAAACACCTGCCTGAGATGCATTTAATTCTGTCCACTTTCTTCATTCTTTTCATTTTCAGTAGTTTCAAAGCCGCCTTGTAATTTCTGTGTATGGGTAAACAGTTTTTCTGATAATAAGGACACTTAAAAAAGAAAGCTATAATGATATTGTTTATTTCTTTCTGTTTTTCCCAGCGGGTGGTTGGCAGCCATTACTTTCTTTAGCACCAATGTTGCAGCTGCTGTGTTCATGCTGTTTCCTGCCATTATGTTTACGATGTCAGCGGTTGCGATGCTTATCTGCATTTTAAGGGTAGGTGCTTCAGATGGCTTGGAGTAGCCGCACTTTGTATTGCAATAATGTGAACAGGCAGCTTAGAAGCCACCGTGAGCCATCACTGCTTTTAAAGGTTTTATAGTGTAGTGCAGTCGGTGTGTCTCAGAGGATTTAGAGGACAAATCCAGATAACAGAAGGCAGCTGGGGCTGGATGTTGTCACCATTTCATGTGGCAACGTTCCTTTACATCACTCAGAGCTGCGTTGCTCATTGGGGTGGTCACTGATGGTAAAGGTGAAGCATCTAGACGTGGCCTGCAGTGGGGTCTGGGTGAAAGGATGGGAAGTGCTCCTCGGTTCTCTGCAGAAAGAAGGATTTGGAGGTAAGACTGTTTGGAAAGCTTCAGTAGACTGATGGCAGAGGCGGAGAGAAGGCAGAAGCTCTGCTGAAGCAGCAGTGTCATTTTTACAGAGGTTTCTGTCCGCTGGCCTGGGTTGGCTGCCTTGTTGTGGGATCTCCCACCTGAATCCCAGGCATGTGGTTGAAATGGGGTCAAGTCTTGGGTTGATATTTAGTTGCACGCCTGTTCACTGTACTGTTACATTTTTTAGTGCTTTTGTTCCTTGGAAATAATAGCTCTTTACAGAGAGAGAAACAAACACAGTACAGTACCAAAGTGACTATAGGTCTTTTGAGGAAGAGGTGTGGGTACCTGTTGCTGACTTTCCTCCTCTCTTTCATCCATTAGGTACATAAAATCTACCGAGGGGCTGGTGGAAGCTTTCAGAAAGCTCAGGATGAGTGGAACAGTGGCGCATGGAGGAACCCCCCCAGCAGGGAGGCCCAGTACAGCAATTTTTCTGGGAACAGCCTGCCAGAGTATCCCACAGTGCCCAACTATCCCCCGGGAAACCAATGGCCTTAAGCAGCAACAGCTGCAAACTGCCTGGATTCTCTTCTTTTTGGTCTTTTTATTATTGTTATTTGAAAAGATCATTTGCATTCCCCCCCAAGCACCCCAGTCATCTTGGGGACTTTTTTGTTTTTTTTTTTTTGTCTCCTCATCACTGCAGAAGATATGTGCTATCAGCCTTTGCCACTGCTGGAGCTCTGCACGACCTTATCAGAAAGTTTTTTGTTTGTGTTGAGTTACCAGTATTTGCCTTGTTGCAGACTGAGGAACCAACCGTTCGCTGCCCTTGCTGGAGGGAATCCTCTCCTGACCGTAGAAAAAGGCTTGACTTCCCCACAACGGCGAACACTACGACAACTGCTCCTTCTCCTGCCTCCCTGCTTAGTTTTCCTCACGTGCACAGCACACTGCCAAGTCGTCTGCAACAAACGCAGTCAGAGCATTAGTAGCAACTGGTGTTTACTCTCCTGGATGAATAATATGGAATTTTTCACTCTAAGGGAAATGCAACACCTAAATTATTTGGTACTAGTGATATCGAAGGTATTTGTAAAATCTACAACCTCATTTGCTTCTGCTCTCTGGTGAAGAATCTTTTCGATAACGGTGCTTGCTGTGGGTGAGTGTTGTTGAGATGTGAAGTCCACAAGAGTCCTCATTTGCCTGGCTAGGACTATTGTTATGCTAGAAGTCTTGCTTTCCCTGCTGCCAAAAGTTTTTTGTGGATCTGTGTGCTTCAAAGGTGCAGATTCATTTCATTTGATTAATGATTTCTCACTAAAAGCCTGGTTCAAAGCCCACTGGCAACTATGGAAAAGCTGGCTGACATAGAGCTTTGGACCTGGCTACCTGGGTGATATTCACCCTGTTACAGGTAATCAGCACAAGATCTTTATGCCATCTAAATTACACTTGCGTGGCATCCAGGTTTTGTGCTGACCCAAGAAATGCCCCATGGGACACACCTTGCCCTGTTGGGACACCCTTTTTTCTGGGCTCCCAACCAGCAGCCAGATGCAAGATAACTATCAATCTCAGTGCTGGGGCCCCAGTGTGTTTTGGGAGTAATTCCATTACAATTAATAGTTTTAGTTGTCTTCTAGCAATGTAGACGAACTCCAAACATGATGCAGTGTGGTCTGGTAGATCAAGGAAAGCTTGTTAGTCCTTGTAACTGATATTAGCTGTGCAGACCTGGTCTACGTCTGTGTAGCCAGCAGCACTTTCTTTCCATGTACAAGCAGGAAGAGAGAGATTTGTGCCTTTCTCCAAGAATCAGCTAAAGAGAGGATAAAGCTGCTGGGAGGGATTGTTTTCCCTGAGAGCTAGCACCCGTCTCGTCATTCATCTCCATTCTGTGCATGCACATCAGGACTCCTGTAGCCTGAGCCATCCAATTCCCCTGTGTCCTACAGCAATCCAGGCAGCAAAGGCTGCAGGTTTTTCTTCTCCCTCAACAGCCCGCTGTGAATTGTTTCAAACCTGTCAAAAACTGGGAGGTCAGTTCCCAATATTTTTATAGGGAGTGAGTGTTCAAATGCTTTGGCTCTGAAAGTTGCGGCCAGTGATCCTGTGAAGGACCGTGTGCTCCACCGCAGAGATCTGTGAGGAGTTGAGCACCCTGTGGGTCAGACCCAGAGCCTGCCCGGCTTCGCAGGCTGATGGATGGGATGCCAGAGATGTTGTGGTGTAAGTGGAGTCACTCCAAATTCACACTGGGTCACTGGAAAAGAAAATTGGCTCCTGGAAAGGGACAGGGAGATTGTCCTAGCTAGGTGGAATTGATTTGCAACTGATCTTTTGAAAACTGTCTCTACATGTGCCTTATCTAATAAAATAATAGCCCACGAAGGAGAACTCTTCCTTCCCCATCATCCCTGCAGAACTTCCCATTTGCTCTATTAACTTTTCCTGTGTCATAGTGTAAATACTAAGTGAAGTACAGCTTGGAGTCTGCATGACACCTTTGTTACTAGGGCCAAAGCGAAAGCAAACACGAATCAGAGGGCAGAGCCTCCCTGAATTTCTGTTTACAAGCAGCACTGATGCCCTGCTGCAGAACCGGCCTTTTGCTGGGTCTGGGATATTTAATGTGCTCCGAACACGAAGGGTTTGGTGATTTGTTTTTTTTTTGGTTTGGTTTTTTTTTTTTTTTTGCAAGTGTGCAATGTGCTTGTAAGTACGAACGCTTGAAGCCTTCTTAACAGAACACAACCTGATTATGTTGTCAAGCTTTTAGGTGCCTTTGTCTTGTGTCAAGTGTAATTGTAGATGTTCTTCGTCGCTTGCCATCAGAGAGTGATAAAAGAACTGCCTGTCGATTAACTCCCTGGAAATACGATTGCACTACAGGGGAGCGAGGGGAGGTTAACGGGGCTGAACGCGAGATTGGCCATACTTGGAAGCCAGAACACGGTGCGCCCGTGTACCACGCTTCCTCCAGCCCTGCCCCTTGCCATCCACGGCCTCCTGCCAAAATTTTTCAAAAGCGATTGTTGTCTGTCCTTTTTAGCATGTCAGGTTTCAAAGGAACCAAGCGGAGAAGCATTGATGAGGACTCTTATGTCTTGCTTCTCATTTCTTTTTTTTTTTTTTTTTTTTTTCCCCCCCCTTGGATAATCTGGGAGGCTCTTTTGAAGCACCCACCTTCAGTCATGTTGAAAATGCTTGATGGAAGGTGAGGGGGTACTTCGGAGCCTGCCCACCAAAATGGTTGGAGCCAGACACCAAAATCACACCCCATTAGCGTACACTGCCTGCGATCTCTTCAGAGCTTAAATGAACTTCTCGACGGGATCTGCCATCTCCCATCTCCCCTCCATCCTCTTCGATGCCAGGAAACCGTAATTCCAGAAAGTTGACTCAACACGCTGCCTGAACTACCGTGGCTTATTTTTTTGGACTCTGTATGTTTTTAAATGTTTACATTAGATTTCTAAGACTTCTTAACACCATTAACCTGGACCTGGCTCCTGGTTTCGTTCGGCATCACGTGGCGTGTACGTGTGTGATGTTTCATGTCACTTGTGGAGCTCTGGTTTTTGTTTGTGTTTTTCTCCTGATCACAAGACAATAAATGCTCATCCTGTGCTTGATGAGAAGAACTGGCCGCATTAGAGAAGTGTGTCTGTTCCTAGGTAACCAGAGTTATCTGGCAGAGGGAAATGGCAAAATCTCTATTTTCCTCCAAAGTCTCCCACCACATGTTGTTTTTTCCTGAAAAGAACAGCACGTTTATGGATGAAGCTCATCCTCTGTGTTGCGGACCGGCGTGAGAGTGGCACGCTGTTTGTACTCTTAGAGATGCCTGATAAGTGTTTACCAAAGGTGTTGCCATTATTCTCATTTTCTAATGAAAGGAACAGAGAGCAGAGGTGTGGGTGGTGGTGAGAAAGTCACATCTCCTGAGCGCTGGCGTTGAGCTCTTTTTCCAGGCCTCTCCTTATCAGTGCAGAGACTCGCACTGGCCCCTTGCAGCACTGGCTTCTTGCCTTCTCCAGTTTATTGCCCAGGAGGAGATCATTATCCCTGGAGTAAATGGGCTGTTTGACAGCAAAGGTGAGTTGAATCGCTCTATTTAGCACGTAGCTGAATTTATTGCCCCAAATTACCATATTGTGGCTTCATACCCCAGTTCCATTCCGTAGCAGATATTTAATCCTAAAAGAGCCATTTTCATCACAGCTGCTCGATATGACATCTAATCTCAATCTCTTCCTTATCTCCAAGGTACCCCCATGCCAGGTACCCCCTGCCCAGCCATCAGCATCTCGCTTTGACCGGCAGCGGTTCCCTACAGCTGCTCGCTGCTGTGCCAGTGATGTGTTGAGCACGACGATGAAACACCTCTTGCTCCAATTCTTGCTCCAGGCCCTCAGAGGCTGAGCCCAAGGCGCAGCTTTAAGCTCCTGCTCCAGCTGCTACTCAGGCAGGTCCTTGGCACTTGGGAGCAACGAGTTGTTCACCTCTGCTGCGCTCCCTGCGCAAGAGCCGGGGCTCGGCAGGAGGAAGCGGCAAGGTTTGTGGGGAATGAGCCTGAAGCGTGGGGACAGGGGGTGGCTGTGCAGCCGAGCTCAGCCCCCCACCCCAAGGAGCTCCCCAAAGGGTTCAGAGTCCCCAGTGTTGGGGTGGGGGCTCTTCATCTGGGGGTGCATTGGACAGGACACCGCGAGGGGCCTGGATTTTCTTTTCGTCTGGTTCTTCGCGTGTTTCTTGTCGCTCTTCGGTTTCCCAGGCCCTGAACATGAATGTTTCATGGCAGGAAGGTTTTGTCCGCGCACTCCCAAGCAGCTTCTGTGCGTGATTGAGAGTGGTTCGTTATGTGTTGTCTGCTTGCAAATTAGCCCTAATTAACTCGTGCCCGCAGGAGGAGGGCAGGGTTCATAGCTGGATGTTTCCCCAACAGAAATTCCCTGGCTTTTCTCACTAACTCGCCGGTGCTGAGCTGATTCCATAGCATGAGCTGTACGGGTTTCTGCAGACCACGCCTGGCACATTGCGTGTTCACCACTGGAGATTTCGACTTGAAATAAAATCAAAACTATTTGCTTTCCCCCTCTCCTGCTCCAGACAATGGGTTAAATTCTCGAGCCAAATGTTCTGATTTTCGTGTTCTCAAGATGCTTCAAATCACCTCTCTCTGCGGCACAGGGTGGTGGGATGGTGCAAAAAGAAAAGAGAAGGATGGCTCTGCCATTCAGAGGCAATTTTATTCTCTCCCATGATGGGATGGGGATCACAGGCCCTCGCTCCCCACCCGAGCTGGGAGCAGGAGGAGGAGGAGCGCCAAGTCACAGCGTGGGGATGGGATGGCAGCATCTGGGCTTTACCTGTGACATAGCTCATTTTATTCTTAGAATTCTCTAAAATCATAGTGTTTTCTTCAAAAGGCAAACACCGACAGGGGAAAAGTACTTTAGACTAGTGCTGGAGGGGGAAAGTGTTTCCCTGGAACCAGGAGAGAATCAATTCAAGCAGCTGGAAATGCTTAAATGGGTATTTGGGGTGATGCTGGTGGCTGGAGACCCGATTCTCCCCTGAAACCACACAAACTCATTTGCCCGTTGCCTAAAAATATTTTTGGGGTGAATCTGTCCTATGCTATGAAGATGAGAGCAGCGGGACTGTACAGGGGTGCCTCCATCCCACGTTACCCTGACAAGCTCAAACAGGGGCAGCTCTTGCGCCCCCCAGAGAAGCGATTCTCCCGGCTGTGCCCTCCTTCGCCAGGAGAGAATTTTGATGGCCAAAGGATCGACCAGAATAACTTGGAAGACTGAAAAAAGGGCAAGGTTTTAGCAGGGGGGGGCTGTTTGCCCGGTGGGTCCCACCAGCCCGGAGCTCCATCCCATCGACGTCCCCTGCAAGGCAGCAGCTTTGCTGGGGTCCCCGGCTTCCCTCTGCCCCCACAGGGTGAGGGGAAAGAGGCTGCGGGGCTTCGCCCACCAGCACCACGGTGGGACCCCCGGACACGTCAGCCTGCCACAACCCAGGGCCTGGCCCCTACACTGGGGCCCGTTCCCTGGGGCGGGGCTGCCCCCCACCCCGAGGATGGGGCCCTGCACTGGGTCCCAGTCGCTGTAGTGGTGCTACACCCCACACAGCGGGGCATCAACCTGCAGCGGGACCTTCCCCTTAGGGGGAGCTGCACCCCTATAGCGGGTCCTGGCCTCCATAGGGGAGCTGCGCCCTATACCGGTGCCTGCGCGGGGCTGGGGGCAACGGGAGGAGCTGCCCCCCGGGCCGCCGGGAGTTAAGGGGAGGCCCCGCCGGTAGCTGCCAAGCGCGGCGCTGCCGTAAAGCGCGCCGCGGCCGCCGCAAAACCGCCTTCCCCGTCGCTCGCCTCATAAGCCTCTTATTCTCGAACGCGCTTTACGCCAACGCCGTCGCGCCACCACCCTCCCGCCGGCTGCGCTTGCGCCGGGCTCCGCCGGGCCTCTCCGCTTCGGAGTTGGTATTCAGAAAGGGAGCTTGCGCCGGCGGCGTGGCGGGGGGCGCATGGGCGAGCGCGGAGCCTACGCCGGCGGCGTAGCAGCGCGGTCGCTGGCTGGCCGCTGCCCGCGGAGCGGCGAGGGGAGGCGAGAGGCGGCGTGAGCGGAGCCGGGCCGGGGGCGCCGCCATGGGGGGGCGGCCGCGGGGCAGCGGCAGCGCGGCCCGGCGCTGAGCGCCCGCGGAGGTAACGGCCGCCGCGCCGCCCGGCTGCCGCGCTTCGTCCCGGCGGGGACCGGGCAGTGCCGGGAGGGAGCGGGGGGGGGGGGGGGGGGGCGGGCGGCGCCTCAGGCGGGGGCCGGCGGAGAGGCCGTGGGGGGGGCCCGGAGGGCGGGAGGGGCCGCGGGGCACGGTAGGTGCCGGGGGGAGAACCCGGGGTTGCGCTGAGCGGCGGTGGGTCAGGTGGGGCCCGGGGGGGGGGGCGATCAGCGGGGGGCTGGGGGGGCTCAGGCTGTGGCCGGGGAGGGGGCTGAGGGCCCGGGGCCGCCTTGCTCCCTTCTCTCCCGGCCGAGCCTGTTTGGTGGCCCTGGGGAAAGGGGTCCGGGTCCACCCGGGATCGCGACCCCCCCCACGCGCCTCTCCGAGACTGGGTCGGTGGCAGCGGTGGGGTCGGGCCTGCCCGGGTTGGGTCCCCCTGGCCTGCACCCTGCCCGGGGGAGCCGGAGCCTTGTAGGATGTTGGCTCCTTTGTATGTGGCTTTCCTCTCTCCGGAGGGGTTGGGAAGTGTTTATTTGGGGAAAGGGATTGTGCTGAATCTGGTATTTAAAATAGCTTTTTTTTTTTTTTTTTTTTTTTTTAATTTAGCAAAGCGGGTGAGGATGAATGTGAGAAACAGGAAAAATACACTCCCCCTTCTGCCCCCACCAGACAGGAGCTGACTTTAGCTGTTCCTGAGGCAGCCAAGGAGAGAGGTTTGCAGATGAGAAGCTGCTCTTCTGTGGAGCTGGGCCACCCGAGGCCTGTGGCTCCTGTTCGGTGGCTGGCAGAAGGGAACCGAGTGAGGCTTTTGGACTTAGGGGGCCGAATAATGCGAAGCTGTGGGGGTGTTCAGAAAGGTTCCTTTGGCTTGTGGTCTGGGCAGCATGGGGACCTGCTGCGTTAGGTGTATTTTTGAAGTTAAAAACCAAAGTTTGTTAAACCTCTTTCAAGTTGCTGTGAAGTTAGTCTGCTCTAAACAAGCCAGAGGTAACCGGGACCCGGGTCAAACTGTGTGTAAAATGACTGCAGGCATGTGAGTGGCTTGCACCAGTGTGTTTGGAAGTTGCCTTGTTAACGAATCCATTTGTTTTCTTTTTGTACAACAAGTGGTTGAATATCTGGAAATGAATTCTGAGGAGCGTGTAAGTTCTTCTGCCAGCTGGACTGTCCTGTCAGCCTGCCACACGCAGCGTGCCCCCATCTCCCCACTGCCAGCACAGAAGTTTAAAAATTGGGCCTTATATAATTGGAGAAAACGTTTGGTGTTTGCCAGTGCGTCTGAAAAAAAAAAAAAAAAATTGCTGTAAATTAGGGCAGGAGGCCTCCATGGGGATCCTGTGGAGAGGTCTTCTCTGTGGTGGGGTAGGATTGACTGCTGTCAGGATCTCGCCAAAGCTTTGTTGGTTTTGTTTTAATTCGGTGTGTTACAGATAGGGATGTTGTTTGGTGATGATTTTATTGCTGCTTAGCACCTTTTGGCCCTGGGGGTGGGTTGTCTGTCATCTTCTGGTGCAGTTGGGGATGGTCAAACCCCAACCTGCCACCCAGCTGGTGGCACCTTCTCTCAGGTCTGTGGTGGTACACACGCTTGGGGAGCCCCCAGTTCCCCCTGGGAGGGATTGTCATTAGCTTGTAGAGACTACTGCCCTCCCGTGTCAGTCTGCCTGGGGATTTGGTCTCCTCCTTCTTAGCTTACAAATCTGTAAGGCCTTAGACATCAGTTCTGTAATTTCTTTGCAAAAACAGCTGCCGCTCTGGTTTGTGCCCGCATCAGAGCGACTGGGGTGCAGTTGGTGGCTTGCAGGGGAGACTGTTTTTCTGTCCGGCAGTTTCTCTGGGCACACTGAATGGAGCTCTGTGTTTCTGCCCTTGGAGCATGGTTTGTGTTTGGTTTTCTTGTTGCAGCACTCTTCAGAAGAGTGA